CTGTTTTGCAACAAAGCTTTTCAGATGATGACTAACTTCTTCCTTTGAACACAAAAAGCCTCTTCAACTAATGTACATATAAATATGTTCTTTACAATGTGCACCAAGCAAGGAAGGGGGGGGGCGGGGGCAAGCCTGTAGGAGTTAACCAGAATTAAAAGCAACCTAGGCAAGATGAGTATAAGAAAGCTGTCAGGATAGATGTTACTCTTACTCTCAATTTCTTCCAGCTCATCTGCTCTCAAGGAAGAAAAACCATAGTTTCTTTTAACCATATCCACAACAGATCTCACTTGAAAGGAAACACAGCCAGTGATCTGGCATGAATGGGCACATTACCAATTTTCCGGCATCACTACTGAATATTTATGTCGGTGACGAATGATGACACCGGTGAAATATTTTAACACGAAGCCTTGCCTTGTAAACCGTCTCAATGCTGTGTCAAAACAACACCTACCATAAATCAGAGGTTTTAGGACCAGTATTTCTTGTTCTAACATGCTACCTGCTCAGCAGAATCACTTGTGTGAACAGGCATAGATTAATGTGTGCTAAGCACAGCCATCTTCCCTCCTAACTTATAGAGCTATAATTTAACAGGCCTATTATCGTCAAGGTAATTTTGACAGTGCTGAAATATTATACTTGTTAAAAATATGCATTTAGCACTAACTCCAGTGGCCATTTGAACGGAATAAACAGAGAGGTATCCCTACAATTATCTTGCTTCTCCGCTGATGACTCTTTTTCGAGCAAGGCAGCACAATGTTGACAACTGATTTTATAAAGGCTCCGGCAAGACAGTTCTTCTGATAGGACAAGAACCTCGCCACACGGCTCTCGGGTCACTTTTCACTTCTCCTCTCCCCTATTTAGTAGCAGCTTGTAGTGGATGCTAAAGTGTCCCTTTCCAGGTTCAAGAAACAGAACAATGGTTCAATCCTCCACCACTCACCTCCCCCCAACGCTCAACTCCTACCCATGCATACCCCCAAATTCAGGATAGCTCAGATTTGTGAAGGCATCTCCAGAGGCTCATTTCCGACTCAAATTAGAAATCTTAATCCTTTGGGTAATTCTAGACTTTGGATTAGGAGGAGACACAAGTAGGTCTCTCACAATTCACGTTCCATACGTTTCCTGGGCACAAGCACCTTCCACGAGGAGAATTAAAGTGAGAGAAGAAAAAATTACTCTATTTTTTTTTCCTTTTATACTCCTTTAGCCCTAACTTAATCTGTAAGGGGAGGGGATATATGTGTGCGCTCTTCTTAGGCTGGACACCTAAAGAAGAGAACTCACACGCCACTGTAGAAAAATCGGTCCTGTGACACGAACGCGCTGGCCACAGCCCAATGTTAACTTTTTACTTCCCCGAGAGAATAAACAAACACCAACATTACTGACATTGGCGGCTCCCTTTCTTAAAGCCAAATTAACAAACGGGATGCAAACAAACAAATATTTATCTGGAATCTATTACGGTTGCTGCACTCAGCCGAATAATGTCGCCGTTTCCAGGCATGAAGAAACAGGACAACTCTCCATCTCGTCTCCAAAATGAAGGGTGAAATTCTAGAGACTGGATAAGAATAGGACATCTCTACGGACTCTGCTGGCATGGAAGGAAACTGAAGAAACTGGTCCTAGTTCTCCCTAAACTCATGTCATACGAGCCACCATAGTCTTACCCTTAGGAATTAAAATATATCCAGTCAAGATGTCAGCGGCTGCCTATTCCAGTTACAAGGCGAGAAGGTGTCAGTTAAGAAATCCAAGCGACCTTGTTGGAAATGCCGGATATTCTGGGACAACACTGTAATTCATCCATCAAGAGTTCAATGTCTCAAACATAAGGACCCACAACAATGGTTTTAAAATTCTGTATCAACAGTACAAAATACAGATTCAAGCTATAAAAAATGGAATTTCTAAGCTTTAAATTTAAAAAGATAAAAATCAAATAAGATAAAATAAAATATAAAATAAAACAGGTTTTTGCAATAAGGTGCCCAGATTATATCCCTGAAATACCGTAGATCATGCTGCCCTCTTGTGCCAGACATAAAAAATAAAACAAACTCAGGCCGTCCAAGGAAAACATGGTTTACACTGCATACAGGAATTCTCTCTTAATTTCTGAATGATCCTCCTTTTGACCTGGGATTTGTGTTACCTGTGTCTTAGATCTGACAGAACGGAGATGGCGGAAGACAGATGTTGATCAGGGAAGAGACAGGTGCAGCCCACAGCACGGGGACACAGATCACATCCACAAAGCCACACCTCAACTCCAGATGCAAGCAGAAAGTGCTGGAAATGCTGGGACGGCTGAGAACATGCGGCTCTTTCACATACACACACGATAGCATTACCAAAATCCACAGAGGAGGGAACGGTAAAAAATAGAGGAAGGAAGGGAAAAAAGAAGAAAATTGGCTTCTGCCCTTCTGAGAAGACACACTAGCTGACTCAAATTTTACCCTAACCAAGATCGACGGGCTTATGAAAAATCAGTGGGTAATAAGATAGCGCATTATAGAAGCAAATAAGGTATATAAACTTCATGCGACCACATATAGGTTCAAAATGGAGAGAAACCGGTTGTGGAGGTTGGAGAGATGGAACCTTGTCAAAAATTAGTGCTCTGAAGTGGTAAGTTCGAAGGATCTCCCACTGATGAACAAAATGGGAGAGACAATGAGAAGGGAGACAGCACATCTCGGGTGGGAGCACCCGTGAACAAAGGGAAAAAGACATTTCCACAATCCGGATCAGGGTCACTGAGAATATTCCAGAAGAGGTGGAACTGAAAGTGACCCTGGAAGGGAACTCTAGCAGGACACCTGCAAATCCAGGTGAGGCTACGGTGCCTGCCGGCAGCCCCTATCACCACCCCCAGTCTCCCTTGGCTGAAAACTACCCCCGGGGGAAAGTCCTTCCTATACCTTCTCTTTTCCAAACTCCAGGACACTCTTAAGACCATGAGCTCATAGGAGACAGACTGACTTCTTCCTGAGAGGGTACTCTGAATGACAAAGTACTGAGAAGAGAACGAGGTGCTTCCTGATCTCTCCATGCTGCTCAGAGGACACTCTGTAACTCGGGGGTGGGGGAGCCCACGACATCACACGAGCACTTGTATCCATTTCACGTGGATACTTAAGGGAACTTAACAATTGAGCCCGGCTGCCCCTCAACTCTAGAGGGGAATTGTTTTTTAATATTATATAACCATTAAAGCATATACTAACAATGATGTCTACTATGAACCATAATTCAAGCCTTTGGCTTGTTCTTCCCCTTAGATTAAAAACTACAAAAATTTTAACCCAATGATAAAGTCTACCACTTAAGATATTTTTAGTTAAAAAAAATTTTTTTTTACTCTACCACCAAAAAGAATAAATAATTCAGGGCCCCTTAACGTTCCAGGCCAACAAGGCCTATCTTTGGAGTCTTTCCTTGGGCTTCTGTTTTCTCGAAGGAATGAGGACCAGCTAACAGATATGGGGCCGGGGAGGGGGGGCAAGGTTAAGAGTAGTGTGCCACTCTAAGATGAGCGACCCTGAAGATTGAGCCTCGGTCCCAAATCCTTGAATAATATATAAATCAGCATGAGGAGAAGCCTGCAGGTCTTGAACGGGAAAAGCCCGGTTAACCATGGCCATGAGCATTCAGAGGCTGTGATAACAGAGATGCAGCCCCACTTAACGCTCCCAACTTTATGACTGTAGCTCTCAAAGTAACTGGCAAAGTAGAGCGGCTTCCTGGCATCAGATTCCTAAGTCCCCGTCTGACAGCAGCCGTAACAAGACCACACACTCGTGTGGGCCTCTGTGGGTCATGGTGTCTGTGCTCTGCGAGAGGCCCAGGCTAAACAAACATGCGGAATGAACCGCACAGAATGCTTTCCTGAAACAGTCTTATTTAACCCTCATGACAGCCTCGTGAAGCACGAAGGGCAGCTCAGAAATTGCAACCCACCACGTCGTCACTGTAGCTAAGATCCCATAGGCACTGACTCTCTGAGCAGCGTGAATGTACTGATCTGTTTTATTCCCACAATATCTTTTTTTTTTTGAGATTTTATTTATTTGTAAGATAGAGAGAGTGCACACACACAAGCAGGGGGAGCAGCAGGCAGAGGGAGAAGCAGGCTCCCCACCGAGCAGGGAGCCCGACGTGGGACTCGATCCCAGGACCCCAGGATCAAGACCTGAGCTGAAGGCAAGTGCTTAACTGACTGAGCCACCCAGGCGTCCCTTAGTCCCACGGTATCTTGCTAAGGGAGTGTAAGTACACAGCATCCCCATTTCACAGGTAAGAACGCCGAGGCACAGAGAAATTAAGTCACTAGCACGTGAGGATTAACAGAACCACAACCAGCTCTTACAGTTAGTGGCTGGCACCAAGTCTGAACCCAAGCAGCTGGATCCACAGTCCACACTGTTCACTACAACATTCCGCTTTGAGATTCACCCGCCCAGCAGCATCGACACCCTTCAGCGGGGTCACACAGCTACTGAACAGCCAGCCCACCTCCCTGCCTGGGAGGTCCCCCGCAGAAACAAAGCCACACTGGGCCTGAACACAGGGAACACGTGTGGAGGGACTGACTCTTCACAGGAAGCCAGGTCAGGGGGCTGCCCTCGGAAGCCAAGGAAGACAAGTCAAGGGCCTCGGGCTGGAGGCGTCAACCACGAAGGCACCTCCGGGTGCGCTCATGTCAAGGACCTTACTGCCGCCGATCTATGTGCAAAGCGAACACTCATTTGTTTTCCACAAACACTGTGGAACAGAAGCTTCTAGGCCCCCCATAGTCAGATTTTGTCTGGTAGGAGGCAAACCGTCAGTGGAGCTTTTTGTAGAAAAGGAATCAACACACAGAGCCATTTCTTCCAAGCCTCTCCTCCGTTTCCAGATGCTGAAATGTGGCCAGACACTAACTGTGTCAACAAGGCAGACGGACTGAGGAACTTGGGTGTCTGACTCACCTGTTGGGTTTCTATCAAAGAACAACACCGGAGCTCTCAGAATGGACTCGAACATTTTGTTGTGCAGAGTTTGCGAAGAATGAACGAGGACATAGAATACCAAAAGAGATCTCACTATGCCAAAAAGGACAGTAGCCACCGTTAAACCTGAAAGAAAGAAACATCGCTCAGAGAACATCTCCTTTCTTCAGCGATGCCAAAGCGCGTCTGGTAGTTTAGAAAGGTATTGAGTATTTTATTCCATAAAACACCATGGATTCTGTAAGAGTTCGATGCATTTGTAAGATACGTTTGTAAAGAACGTAATTTCTTTCTCTCTCATTAAAGAGAAACTATATGTAAGAAAAAAAAATCAGGTGTAAACCACAATTTCATGCTAGGCTTTCCTAATTCAATTACAAGTTCTATTAAGAACTCAGAAGAAAGAGAGAGAATTACAAAAACTAGTCGATCTGCCCTTCTCCACATTTCGAGTTTTACTATTTACACGTCTCATAATCTAAAACCATGTTATGTTCGGACGCTGGCATGTGAATTAACAGGAAACAGGGCAAATGATGTCCCATCTCTTTGTAGCAAATACCCAGGTGGCTTCTAAAGAATATGAAAATACCATATTAAGTGACAAGTATCAAATCTCTCAACTGAACCGCTAGAAAATACAAATTCTGGGTTCACATGAAATCATCTCAGTGAGCAATAATCTCTCCCCCCAAGTGTTTTATACAAAAACAAGAAGCATCTTTAAATGAACAAAATCATTTAAATTATGGATTTTATTATGGACACAAATGAATACCTATCTCCTGAACTCCCAATGCTAAACAGACTGGGGGTAATTTTTGAGAAAAATACCCCATCAAGTGCACTTTTCCCCTTCAGCGGACACCTCACTGTTGTTTACACTCTCAGAGCTGCTCAAATGCCTCAACTCTGTCCACAGACGTTTTCCTCGTTTTCCTGGGCACACCCCGTCCCCCACCGCCCATCCCACTTGAATGTGCAGTAAACCGTTCCTTCCTCCCTCCGGGCCCCTCGTGCCCCACCAACGTGGAAGGTAAACGGCTCATGTGTTCAGGGTTTCTTAGCGAGTGCTCAACGAAATAAATACCAAATTTCAGTGAGTAGGTTTTCACAAAGATCACTCACTCTATCTTTGCAGAAAGCTTGTACGAGCATTTCCGGTGAGAATATTTAAAATTTTAGATGAGGCTTTCCATTAAAAAGTATGCAATGCCACCTATATTCTAAGCACTCTTGTGAAAACAGAGTGCTGTGTTAATATTAGTCTGGCAAGCCAAATGTTAAATTAATCACACAGTTGGGGATGCGATAACATTGTGATCTCAAGGTAAGAAAGAGAAGGAATCCTAATTCCCAGACACAGGATTTTTCCCTGCTTAGCTTCTCTCTTAAGTAATTAGTGAAGCCCAAGAGAAGAGCAGTGTGGGGTTGGGAGCTTTGCATACCTGCAAGGGAATAATGCTTTTATGTGGGGGAACCTTGCTGCCAGAGGATTTCATCCAAGTTCAATAAAAGCCAGGGGTTTATTCAGACAGAATTGGAACAATCCGAACCACAGGGTGGGGATCCGTTTCTAATCCCCTTGCCCATCCAAATAATGATATAAGATTTAGCTAAAGCAACCCATTAGAATAGACAATAGCCACAAATTTCCAGTGGCTGATTTTCTGAATGCCCAATCCTGGTTTAACTTCCAAAATCCAGTACAGAGCAAATTAAGAGTCTTCATTCAACCTCTTTCTTCTAGTAGATTTTAAAAATAATTATTCTAATTAATTCACAGAGTAAATGCGACTCAGACTCTTAATCTGTTAAGACATTACTGAATTACTCCTGGAAGCCCTAGTTACTCACACAGGCTCATTGTAAGCACCTCAGACTCCCGGATAATAAACCGAATGATTAAACTTTACCTGAGTAAATTCCTAAGTACCAGGCAAGATCGACCTTCTCAGTGACATTTTCTGTTCCATTTACCATGACATTCAGGGCACTTTGTTCATTTGCCCTGTGGGAAACAGGGGGAAAAAAAATATTCAACTAGAGATGGAATTTAGGTAAGTACAAAAAGAAACCAAAAAAGTTAGCCTGAATTTGGGAGACATGATTTATGCTGGAAAAGTGTGCCGTGCCCCGGGTACAACCACCTTATAAAAATTCAACTTTCAGGGGTGCCTGGGTGGCTCAGTCGTTAAGCCTCTGCCTTCAGCTCAGGTCATGATCCCAGGGTCCTGGGATCGAGCCCCACATCGGGCTCCCTGGTCTGCGGGAAGCCTGCTTCTCCCTCTCCCACTCCCCATGCTTGTGTTCCCTCTTTCGCTGTGTATCTCTCAGTCAAATAAATGCATAAAGCTTTAAAAAAAAAAAAAAAAAACTTTCAGTTCTCAAAACTGTCTGAGGATCCTTCATGGGGAGAGACTATGGGAGGGCCATACTCTACCAGCAAGAACTTTAGCTTTCTTTCTCTTTGGGGAATCTAAGGGAGGATCAGGATAGGAGGCTGAATGAGCCCACTTCCGCCGACTCTGTGGGAAGGAGGCTGCCTGACTTTGTGGCCCTGAGCAGGAGACCGGAAGCAACTCACCAGTAGGAGAGCCACCAGTCCTGAAGAACGTAGGCGACCTAGAACAGGGAGGCGAAAAGATCACGCCACTTAGCACCTCAACACTCTCCCTCACCCAAAGGGACCATCAAAAGGCCCTGGAAAATGGACACGGTTCTTCCGGCTCTGGTCTACGCCAAGCCCAAACACCCCAAAAACAGCACAGCAAGTGAGTGCACGTTACATTTTAAAATCTTTAAAAGACATTCTTTTTTTTTTTTTAAACCCCTAGAAGCTTTCTGCCATGTCCACCATCGCCAGTAAAAGTTCCTCTGTCCCCCAAGATACCACGTTTCAAGGCAAATCCAAGTGGACTGCAAAATACAGTAATGAGAGTAAATATAGAGAGCGTAAGCAGGACCAGGCTGAGGCCACAAACAAAATAAACGCCCTCGTTTACCTGAGCTATGACGTTTAACAGAACGAGGAACACAATGACCAGCCAGTGAGCGCCGGCCGCTAGGTAATTCTTGTAGGCCTTAAAACCGACTTTTCCTTCTGAACGACTCTCCTCGGACACAGCAGCCGGTGTGTTCTCGTTCTGAGAAGGAAAAGGGGGAAAAAAAAGCAGTAAGAGACAAAATTTTGTATAATGTACCCCCAAACTTCAAAAGCTCCACAGTGCGCCCCGTTGGCAAAGGCAGGAGCAGAGAGGCCCGTCTTCCACACTGCGAGGGGCGCCAGTTGGTACATGTCCTCAGGGGAAGGGTGTACAAGGATCTCGCCAAACCATCTATGCAGTCACCGTGGGACCCACCCATCCCAATTCTAGGGATCTATGGGCAAAGAGGAAATGCTGTTTGTACAAGGTCGTTCACTTTGCTGAAAGGGGAATGTCACGACTTCCAGCACAGGCACGAAGTACCCGATTCACGTATAAATGCAGAAGCTTATTCCACAATAATACACAAGGTGCTGTGGAGCTAACGTATCACCACAGATTACTGGCATCCCTCAGGGATGGAAACGCAAAAGATCACAGGAGCTCAAACTATGAGCCAAATACAGAAAACAGTTCAAACAGCAAGAGGAACGGGCATCAGGATACCAGGGAGAGCGCGGGGTCTTTGGTTCCTAAATTTCAGAGAGTGAGTCCTCCCCAGGACTCGTCTGCATCCTTACCAGGATCATCCAGGCTCCTACAGTTGGACTGTGCAGGTCTGGATACTGAGGACCACCTATGCATATTTTTAAGGGAGAAGGAGGGCATTTCCGTGTGGCTGTGCGGAGAACAAAGAATGTCCTGAAGGTTCACAGAAGCCAAGGATGTCCTTGTGCGGCCCTCTGTGGTCTCAGAGATGGCTGAGATATGGTTCTGGAACTTGAAGGCCCCCAACATTCTCCATCCAACACCCAAAGGAGAGCCCTGATCAGGCCTGCTCCCTTCATCGCATTTTAATTCTACCAAGTCCATGGAATAAGGCCTTGGAACTGTAGGATCCACTTTGGGTCCAAGGAAGGGGTCATGCGCGGAGCAGAATGAAGACACGTGAGGATGCCGAGAGCAGACAGGACCCGGGCCCGCGGCGAAAGGAGAACTCACCTCCTGGACCTCCTGCACGCCGTCTTTCAGCGAGGGTCTGGACGACTGCTGGGACCAAATGGAAGACTCGGAGAAGCTCCGAGTCCTCAGGACGGGAGATCCTGGAGCAGGACTCTGGTCAGCCTCCTCGTTCTCCGTCTTTAAAAGGGAGCCGAAATCCACCCCAGATTTCAGAAACTCCGTGTAAGTCCCCTTCTGTACCATCTTGCCCTAAAATAAAAATAAGAGAATTTGACAGGAGTTCACGTGCCTTTGATAACACTCATCTAACGCTAATCAAAAAAAGTTAATTGGTCTTAAATTACCATTTTCATAAGAGAATTACCCTTAGGCCTGGAATTCTGGCTGACTCATGGGGTGCAACTCGACTGGACACAGAACCGAATATCCTATTCTCTGTCAAACCCCGTGGTAGGTGTCGTGGAACCCCACGTTAAGGATGGAGGTCACAAACTACCACAGGCATTTAAAGAAGTAAAAAGTACGGAGGTTGGTGGGAATACCAGTACAGTCTTTTTAAAAGATATGGAAATTGAGGCAAGTGTCATGTGTTTAAAAAAACAAGGTCAAACCGGGGAGGGAATTCTAGGGAAGAACAAAGCTTGACACTATGTGGTCACCTGTGCATGGTCAGAGTCCCCCATCGACTCTCCGCTGGCCATGGCCACCGTATCACATGCCACACTGAGACTGGACACGTGGGAGGTCGTCTTTACACCTGCCCACAAACTCAGAAAGCTCCCAACTGAGAATTCAATACTCTACCTGCTAAAGTCATTAACACAGGTGACCATCTGACTGGGGTGACTCTAATGCCTTGGGGGGGGGTCTGTCGTCACGAGCAAACCAAACCCTAAGCCAGAATCAACACACTCAAACGCATGAAAATTAAGCTTGGGAAGCGCCAACCAGGCTTTCCAAAATCAAGCAACTCCTTTAAGCTCCAACAAATCAAATAATTTTCCTGAAACCCACGTGACACATCACTGCACAGCTCCCTTCCTTACCAAGTCACAGGAAATAATGTGCAGGTGTCTTCCGTGGGTTCTCAACCCCAGAAAAGAATACGCAGTGGTTCTACTCAGTGGCAGACAAAATCCTAGGCAAAATCTCAGGGTGCCAAACAAAGCAAAGGAGGAAAGGCTCAGGGGACGGCAGGCCAGGGGAAGGGAGGCCGCCCGGGACCCCGGCTCATACCCTGCCCATCCCGTGCCCTGACGTGGACCACTGAGAAAGAAACCTAACGAAGCTTTTGGGAACCAGTCTGATACTGGAGAATTAAAAAATTATTCATGATATAGTGTGTGTCTTGTTCCATTTGGGAGGCAAAATTCATACGCCTTGTTTAATGAAATTACCACTTCTGACTCAGGAAGTGCAGGTGCACAAGGAAACGACTAGGGGTCTAGAGGGAGACGGCAAGCTCGGTCGGCAGCCCCGCACCAGCCATTTCCCGGGGGGACGCGAGGACAGCCAGCCCTGCTTGGCGGCTAGAGAGGGACCAGACGGACAGTAGGGAGGGATCCAACTCATCCAGGAGAACTCACCGGTGGACGAATGGGTGGTCTGACAGTACTGAAACCGGCAGTGTGGTCCTCAGAAAACAGCAGTGAGGGGACTGGCTGACCAGCTTCTTCTCCTGCCCCCTGGTTCTGTCCTCAATAATCCCGCTCACACTGGGGTTCTACCAGAGTCTCTTCTGCCCTCTGTGCATGAGACAAAGTGTCTCCAGATCGGGCAGTCAGAGCTTCCTAGTCCCAGAGGGCCGCAGAAGAGCCGACACGGGGAACTGCTTCAAAGGAGGCAGTTTCTACGCTCTTGTCCTCCTCCATTGAGCAGAACCGGGTTTGAGGAAGCAAGGCTCTGACCAAGGGCCTGAGGCAGCAGACCAGGGTTAATGACCGAGGGGCTGAGGCTCCCAGGCAAACACGCCAAGGAGTGAAACATCAAACCACCACCAAGGTCAGAAAATTCTTACTCATTTCCATCCCCCACCCCGCAAACCCATGCTGGCTGTTGGGGGTTGAATGGTGCTCCCCGCCCAAGAAAATACACTTGAGGCCCAAATAGGATACCTACGGATGGGACCTAATTTAGAAACAGATCTTTGTAGACGGGATGACACTGAGGTCATGCTGGAGTAGGGTGGACCCCAAAGCCAATTTGGCGGATGTAGGAGGAGGAGTTCAGACGCAGCAACCACCACGTGACTACAGACCTATAGACCATAGGGCCGCGGCTACAAGCCAAGAACAGCAAGGACAGCTGGCGAACACCAGAAGCTGGGAGAGGCAATGAAGCATTCTCCGCAGGAGCCTTCAGGGAGAGCAGGACACTGCCGGGGCCTCGGTTCTGGACTGGTAGCCTTCAGAAGGGTGAAGGTCATAACCTTCTGGAGATGAAGCCCCCCACTTTGTGGTGCTTTGTGATGGCCACTCTTGACACTGACTCACCGCCTGAGCCCATGCATCCGTCTTTTGAACTTTACTGAGACCTCTGCTTCTGCTGCTGGTCCTCCAGCAAATGTCAAGAGGCATCTTTGCAAGCCATGCCTCAGACCGTATCGCTCCTCTACTGTGGACTGCCCAGTGGCTTCCAACCCACTACCAGGCCAGCAGCCCACTGCTCCAAGCCCACCTCCCTCACACTCCCCATAGCCCCTGCCTCAGACATGGCTACCCGGCCATTCCCCCAACAGGCCAGGTCAGGTCCTTCCTTAGGGCCCCACATCTGGTCCCCCTGCCTCAGCTGCTTCTCCCCCAGGTGACTACCTGGCCGGCACCTTCGTGTCATTCAGGTCCCCTGAGGCACCACATCCCCAGGGAGGCAGTCACGAGATCAGCCGCCCCCACCCAACTCCTTCCTTACATCTCTCCCCACACGGATGGAAGCTCCGTGATGGCAGGGACTGGTCTGACTTATTACTGCACAAACTCTCCCAGTACTGGGCACGCACAAAGCCCTGTGCTGGGAGACCAGCAACTGACGAGACCCTGGAGAGCACGTCTCCACCAGGGGGGCCTCAGCTTTCCAGCCACACCCGCCATCAATGGCGGACACTCTCTGAATACACTGCCGGTGACAAAGAGACACAAACATGTCTTAGTAGCTCGAATTTCCAAATAATACAATTTAACTTATGTCGTAGAATAGGAAAACAGAACCTCTCAATAAAATAGCATCATTATCCCCAACGATTTTGCCAGAATGGCTATAATTTATAACTCTGAGGTAGCAGTTTTATCTGCTTGAGGGTAACAGGGCTCGGAATGCAATAGTTCCATTTCTACATGTCTTTGGATTCATGCTCAAAAGGCATGAGTATGAGCTCTGGGGAGATCGGGACGCAGAAGTGAGGAAGGAGAGGGAGTTTCGCACAAACCCAAGAGGAGACCTGCGGGGAGGTCTCACCTTCAACACACCTGAGTGCTAGCAAGCTCCACCGACTTCTAGAAATTACTTACATCTTTCAATATCAGAATCTGACTTGCAGCTTTTAGGTACTGCAACTGGTGAGTCACTAAGATTGTGATCTTCTCGTGCAAGGTTTGACAAATACACCTATAAATGTAAAAGGTACAGTATGCAGAAATCGCGTTAATGGGGGTGCTCCAAACAGGAAAACACACATTCTGAAAACACAATGAGACAAAGACAGCACAGGAGTCAAAGATCTGTGGCATAAGCACCAGCTCAAATACAAATAAATGTCAATCAATGAACCCAACCAGGTCCCCACATCTATCAGCAGCAAACTCGAGTCTAGCTCTGCTAAGAGATTCTAAAAAGCAGTCCGGTGAAGGAGCCACCAAGTGCTAAGGGCACACCCCCCCCCCAACTAAAATTCAACAATTATTTATATATTTCATGATGGAAAACGATTGAGCAATACTGAGATTCCAAACCTAAGTGAAAATATGAGTTATTTCATCCCTGTATAGGAATGGGAGAAGGAGGGATCTATGTCATACAAAAATGTTTCCTTTTTTTGTCTCCTAGGTGATTAGGACTTATGATGTATATACATATACCAGCCAAAAGAAAATCCTAACTCTTCAGTAATCTTCACCAAAATGCATTTTCTTTTTCTTCTAAGATTTTATCTGCGGGATAGAGAGCGAGAGCAAGAGCAGGGAGGGGGAGAGCAAGAGAGGGAGAATCCTTAAGCAGACTCCCTGCCGAGTGCAGAGCCTGCCGCAGGGCTCGAACCCAGAACCAGGCATCATGTCCTGAGCCGAAAGCAGATGCTTAACAGACTGAGCCACCCAAGCACCTTCAAAGTGCATTTTCTAGACACTTCTTCCCAGATACTATTAGAAGACAAACGCTGGCATGGCCTCAGTTAGTGTCTACAATGTCCCCACAGTCCCATCCTGGGAACACATCGCCTTTCATTAGGACTGAAAACCTTCCCAATAGGAGTATGAAAGAAGAGAATCCAAACGGCCCAAATCGTAGTGGAAATCATCCCATGGCTCAAAGGACACGCCAATTCTCTGAGTACTCAGGTGTTTTTCTACAGTAACCCCTCAAACTGCTCATTTTAAATGTAGAACCCTAGGAGCTCCACTCCACCACAGTCTGCATCCTCTCCAGCTAAGTGGGTGGCCCAGGTGGGGGCCCCCTGACCACAGGCTGGGCCCCAGGAACACACTCTGGGCCCCCGAACCCTTGCAGAGAAAATCTCAGCAAAGTGGGTCACAACTCTACCTGCGCATGTAGGTCAGATTGAGAGTTCTAGAAGCACCCAGACTGAAGTTCAAAGCCCTCAGATCAGCCGGACAAGGTCTGGGAGCTACCAGACCTCTGTGAACCTCAGTTCCTTCATCTCAAAATACGGCTACTGACAACACACGGGGCATGTTGTGGGAAGAGCACTAATCCGCTCGGTGAAGGGTCTGTTCACGCTCTTCCCTAACCACAAGGGGCCCTTTGCTTTGGACTCAGGATAGCAAAGTCCTACGGGGACACTTCTGAGACTGGGCCTGAGATCAGAAGACCCCAGGCTGTACACACAAATACTATTACCCCATTCTTTGTGTCCAGAAGCTCTGCATCCCTTTTGAGGGGTCCCGGTGTGGCTTTCCATCCTAAGTTTGCCGGCCAAGCAAACCCCTCTTCCAGCTTAGCACTAAAGCATTTAATGAAATTGTTTCTCCTTAATTCAAAATTCCATGCCGGCAGTCCCTGATGGGGTATTAACCGAATCTGATGGGTCTCTATGTCCAAGCTGGGCTACTGGGAAAGTTTTACAATACATTCCTCCTGACACCCACCACAGAGAAAGGAATATAATTACAATGATACCATTAGGTGGTGGCTTTAAATTTTTTCTAAATTATGCTTTTTAATCAACATCCCCAGGAAAATACTCTATTTGCCAAATTTTTAAGAGTAAAAAAATCCCAAGTCATGCCATTAAAAAAAAAAAGAGTGATTCAGTAAGAAGTTATTGAAGGGTGGCGTTAAGAGGGGCCATGTGCTGAGGTAGAGGGGATATAAGTAAGAGAGTCACTACCCTACTTCACTCCGTCGACAGAGGTGAGCTGCCAGCCACTGATCTAAGTGAAGAGGACACAGCCACAGGACAAGAAAACAGAGAACGCCCTGCACGGTGTGGAGGGAGGCACATTCAACAAATACAGAAAATGTACTCTCAAGGAGGGATGTGTGCCATGAAGACAAAGCAAGGTGACGGCTGCGATCTGGAAGGTAAGGGACACAGGGACCATGAGACTATCTGGGTGGAGCATCCCTGCAGGGAGGTACAACAGGGGCGGCATCTCTGGGGACAGAAACCACCTGCGCCCAGTGCCTTCATGCATTCACCATGGAGTGGGTGGGCAGCGGGTGTGGGTAGGGGACGACTCACCAGGGACCAAGTAAAGGACACTACGAGCTGGGAGAAGACACAAGGGCACATGGTGGATGTGTGCGAACAGGGGATGGGGCAGATAGCAAAGGACCTTGGTTGGTATTTGAAGCCAGCGGAGGGGCACCCGCATATGAAGGCCTGGGACAACGAAGGCAAACAGAGCAGGGACAGCGTGGGGCGATCCCATCAGGACAGACTCAAAGAACTGATTATGCAGGACATGCAGGTGTGGGGGGGGGCTTTCTAAAATATGACAAGCTCCACCGCTAGAACAGCTTCGACCAAAACGCATTCACCTAAGGGCCTCTGAACGCCCCCCTCCACCGCATGTGACAGGCCCCACATCAATGTTTACAACGTACCGTCATGAAACTCGCAAACCTTAATGACCTTGGATATATATATTCACGACTGAAGTAAACCGTTAATGGTGAGTAGAAGTATAATTCATTCACTTTTAATACAAAACACTTCACATTACTGAGCTCAACACAACCGCCATCTTTCATAGCATATTGTTTGGTCCAATTTTCTAGCTCGTTGAGAACATTCTCCAGCTGCTGCTGAGTGATTTCCTAAATTGCATTCGTGCTCCCTGCCCTACGTTTCCCCAAAGAACGTGGTTCTGATTAGCAAACAACAATTTTAACAAGCTCGCTTCTATCAAGTGTATATCCAAAGCCATTAAACGCGAAAGGTGCGAGAGGACTTTATATAAATACTTCCCCTGTTCAAAGAAGAACTTGGGGGAGCTTCTGTGATAAGCACACTGATCCCCGCAAAGGAGAATGCCTTCTTCTCTCCTCCCAAGTGACACAAACGCAATGGCCAGTGGAATGTGTTCTCAGAGTGATGGAGAACTGGTGTGGACCTACCCAGGATGGGGTGACACACAATCGTGACTTCGGGGTGAGGCTCCAGGGGTAGGGAGGCTGGGCTGCTCCTGACACCACCGAGGGTGTGGGGCAGGGAGTCTCTGTCACAGTGCTGGGCCCTGTCACTGAATTCAGTCACAAGCCACAGGGCACCTCCCTGAGGGAAAATTCATCAAGTTGGGACCAGGACGGGAAGGGAAGGGGGGTGGCGGTCAGATCAGAGAGCTGGAGGGCACAGCAAGTGTCAGGGCTTGCCTCTCCACGTTCTGAACGATTCACTACTGCCATATGCTTTTTCTTTAAATTGTGGTAAAATTTGTATAACAGTTACCATTTCAACCATTTTTAAGCCTGTATTCTCAGTGGCATTGTGGACATTCGCCCTGCTGTGCAACCGTCACCACCATTCATCTCCATAACCTGCCGTCATCCCGGATCTAAGCATGTCATACATTCGCATTCAGCAGAGAGGAACGGGGTAGCATGTTAGGAACCCCACTGAGGAGACACTGAGCCCCAGGCTCCTTGCATCCGGAATTCAGAGCTGCCCCACACGGCTAACTCTGCTAAAATCTCTTTACTTGGCTACTGAGGACTTTAAATGAATTGTGCCTCCCCACCCCACAACCCCAAAATTCCCATGTTGATGGCTTAACCCGCTGTACTTTAGAATTTAGTGACAGGACATCTTTTTTTTCTTTCTTTCTTTTTTTTTTTTAAGTGACAGGACATCTAAAGAGGCAATTAAATTTAAAAAATGAGGCTTTGATGGTGAGCCTTTACCCACTCTGACCTGCATCTTTAGAAGAGATTAGGATATCAGGAGATGAGGTGTCCGGATGGCTCAGCCGGTTAAGCACCTGACTCTCGATTTCAGCTCAGGTCACAGTCTTGGGGGTCGTGAGACCGAGCCCCACTTTGGGCTCCAGGCACAGTGGGGAGTCTGCTTGAGATTTCCTCCCTCTGCCTCTCCCCCAAATCATACGTACACATGGTCTCTCCCAAATAAATAAATCTTTAAAAAAAAAAGGGGGGGGTCCTAAGGAGAAAGCCACGAGGGGTGCATAGGCACAGAGGGGAGACCATGTGAGGACAGAGTATGAAGGCGGCCATCAGCCAGCCAGGGAGAGAGGTCTCAGGCCAATACCCTCGTCTGGACTTTCAGCCTCCAGGCCTGGGAGAAACTCTCTTTCTCTGGCTTTAGTCCTCCTTTGTAAATGGAGATGTTTTGGGCAACATGATTTGCAAGAACATCTACCTCGGTGCACACATCAGGGCTTCAGGAAGTGCCTGCAAAGCGCTCACTGGCTTTGACGAGGTGAACGACAGTGAGGTAAGTGTGGTAGACACGGAGGCCATCTGAGCAAGAGCGAGCTCACGATGCTTCCAAGTAGGGCAGCGTAGACTCCACGTAGACAGGCCACGTGTTAGCTTAAGCTCTGTGCAGAAAAGGTTCAGAGCTGTTCTGTTTCAGTCGGGTGGTGACGAACCAAGAGCCATCGAAACCAAACTCCAGAGACGCAAAGTGAGAGTCAGGAGAGGAGCTTGATAGTAGAGATCTGGTTTCAAGTTCAAGTTAACCCTACATGTGGGGGTCTTACGTAATGATTCTAGTAAGAACCCGGGAGCCAAACTGTGATACGGAATAAGGCATTTTTTAAACGCTAGGCTTCACCGGGTATTTCCTGACCAACAGGGTCATTAGCACAGACCAGCGAGGCCACTCCACAGGAGTGTGACATGAGCATTTCTAAGGTGCCACCGGCAAAAATGATGAAGGAAAAGAACTGGGAGCCAAGGGTCATGTTCCCAAGTCCCGTTCTTCGATACAAAAAGTGCACATCTGCTTTCTTAGCCCATCAACAGTGTCTTGGTTATCAAGGGTAAGCAGCAAGGGGACACCTGCCATCCAATTCTCTTTTTTTTTTTTTTTGAAGATCTTATTTATTTGACAAACAGAGATCACAAGTAGGCAGAGAAGCAGGCAGAGAGAGGAGGAAGCAGGCTCCCTGCTGAGCAGAGAGCCCAATGCAGGACTCGATCCCAGGACCCTGAGATCATGACCTGAGCTGAAGGCAGAGGCTTTAACCCACTGAGCCACTCAGGTGTCCCCACTTCTTCACCCCCTAAGGCCTGTCCTCTACTCCCGCCACACGCAGCGAGCACCATCTGGGCCTTCCTTTTATTCCCTAAAGATTTCTCTGAAATAGATCTTCTGTGGAAGGAAGGGAGAAGGAGGGACACCACAGCAGAACAAGCGAGTCTTCAAAGCACCCCGGCTTCCCTAAGCCCTCTTCCCCAAACTCTACGGGAGGGCTCGAAAGCAGCAAGGACAAACACGGACCAACTCACAGTTCAAACAAGTGCCGGCCAACTTCTGCGTCCACTGCACTGAGAGGATCGTCCAGGAGGTAGATGTCCGCGTCCTGATACACTGCTCTAGAGAACAGAAGAGGACGTGGGACAGGAGAACACTCCAGGCTCCTGGGATTCCATCTCCCAGTCGTGGTGGCCTTCCACAACCTGGGGCGTGTTCACTCCAAGAACCCATGAAATAGTGAGGCGCGCCCCGTCCCGTTCCCACCCCCCTGCAGCAGGTGGTCTCAGGTCAGCCACCCCGGGAGCAGCTCACAGAACACGTGCAACAAAACTGTGGATACCTGGCGAGGTTCACGCGGGCCTTCTGCCCCCCGCTCAGCGTGGCTCCCCGATCACCTATCACGGTTAAATCTCCGTCCTCCAAAAGCTGCAAATCCTGCACAGAGACAGAAGGGGAAAAAAAAAAAAAAAAAGATTTACAATGTGTCCTCCTGTTACTCGAGACGTTCGGCACTGGGCTTCATACACGTATGTGATTGACAGCAAAAGGTCTACTTTGAGGTGACTAAATGGTAACCTTGAACCTTTCCAGAAAAAACTCAGGGCTTTCTGCTTTCCTTCTGCAGCTTTTCCCACAGCATTCGTGCATTTCACCATCTCACCTAATGTTTACTGAACACTGACTACATGTCTGGCATTGTTCAGGGCACGATGAATTTGGTAGTAAGAAGACAAAATCCATTGAGTTTCCATGGAGGGAGACTGACAATATGAACAATTAGCATGAGTGCAAGTCCTAAGTACTAAGAAGAAAAAATAAGCCTGCTTGGGGGACAGAGGGACAGGGAAAAAGTGCTACATGGGGGTGAGGAAGGGATCTGAGCCGAGGGGCTTTCACAAACACACGAGGGCGTCTGTGCGGACCCGGAAGCTCTGCCACATGCAGGAGCCAGCAAGCGCCAAGGGCGCAGGGCGGACACGTGCCCAGGGGGTACAAGAACGAGCAGGGAGGCCAACCGAGCAGAAGAGGGTGAGTAAAGAATGAGGAGGGGTGCCTGGGTGGCTCAGTCAGTTAAGCGGCTGCCTTTGGCTCAGGTCATGATTCCAGGGTCCTGGGAACGAGGCCCGCGTTGGGCTCCCTGCTCAGCGGAGAGCCTGCTTCCCCTCTCCCTCTGCCTGGCTCTCTGCCTACTTGTGCTATCTTTCTGTCAGATAAATAAATCAATCAATCAATCTTTAAAAAAAAAAAAGAATGGGGAGAGCCGGGCCCCTGGGTGGCTCAGAGGGTTGAACATCTGCCTTCAACTCGGGTCATGATCCAAGGGTCCTGGGATCGAGTCCCGCATCAGGCTCCCTGCTCCCCAGGAAGCCTGTTTCTCCCTCTCACACTCCCCCTGCTTGTGTTCCCTCCCTCACTGTGTCTCTCTCTGTCAAATAAATAAAATCTTTTTCTAAAAAATGGGGAGAGCAAGGGCAGTGATAAGAGGGCGGGGCCACGGGTTTCACGCCCAGTGAAATGGAGTGGGGCCGTAGGGAGGAACACCTGACCTGGTCTCAGTTTTTCAGGAATCCCTCTTGCTTCTTCGTGGAACACAGATGGGAGGGGGCACAGGGTGAAGCCAGGCACACATGAGGACAGGCCTGCATTACTGGAGGTGGAGACAAGACAGTGGCTAGACCCAGAGCGGGCGCAGAGGATGTGGAGAGCAGTAGGCACGTTTCCGAGAAAATTCGAAGCAGAGCTGGTGAGACGTGCTGATGAGTGGGTATGGGTTGTAGCGGTGGCACAGGAATGACGCCCTGTCCTCCACATGAGGAAGGGGATGAACAGCCCCACCGTTTACGGAGCTGAGGGAGGCAGTGGAGGCCAGGCGAGATGCCCCCTGGGGACGTCAGGCTGCGGCCAGACGTGCGCATCTGGACGTCGGTGCTGGGGCTGCTGCTGGCAGCCGCCCATGGCCTGGGAAGCCCCGGGACTCAGCTTCTCAAAGAACAAGTTCATCTCAACCAGCCAGTGTGCTGATCTCGGCCTCAGCCTCTCACCTTTGCAGAAAGGTGAACACCTGCCCCTTGTCTTCACATTGAAGGCACAGTGACAGAGTGACAGATGAGACTCGTTCAAGAAACAAGAGCAGAAAGAACAGTCTGGCAGGAAAAACAGAAGGGAAGTCACAGCGTGTTCGAGGGACACTGATCCAATCAGTAAACTAAGGAGACGCTCGTTCCATGCAACGCAGGTGAAACTCAAAGCCACAGAGAATGAGCTTGGACGTGAAGACGTGGAATCTATCAGGTTCTACCAGAAGCTCTCAGGCTCCTGGTGGAGACAAGCAGAGTTCGGGGGTGAGTGTTGGTTACCGACCACACCTCTCAAGTGTCGCTCGAGAACACACAGCGACACCTTTCTACACGGGAGACCCACCGCTTGGCCTCCACTTTGGCCAATCTGAGGAGAAAGCACGTTGGAATGTCCATGACAAGCAACTCCTCTGACCTCCTTAAGGCCTCTTTTTCCTCTTTGACAAAATGTGGAGACAAGAATGGCCATGCTCCAGGCTGTCGTGACAAACAGACACTTGGAAAAACACCTTCTCTACGTAGGAAAAGGACACATAATCCACTGCAACCTATTAGTGACAGATACATGTTTTCTGATCAAACCAACCATGGGGCCTCGTTCAGTGTGAATCACGACACGCAGAGCACACCCCCTACAAGGAGATGGGAAAGAGAGTGCGGAACCCCCATCCTCACCCACCCTGAGAGCCCACAAAGGTACACAGAACTCCCCGTGTGCTCAGAGCCTCCCTGGATGCCAACAAACCAAAGACGGCAATTGCTCAGTCATGAAAACTCATGCCTTCATGTTACTTCTTTGCTGAGCTCAGACGTCAACACCATCTCTTGCTTTTGGTTTCCGTGCAGAACGACGGGCCATCCAGAAGTAGGCTCCCCACCTTCCACCACCCACCCACCCCCACATGGTTTACTTGGCCTCAGTTCACTGCTGACAGTCCAGGGAAAGCGTTCTTCATTTTTAAGCCTTGACTTTCTGTGGCTTTGTTGTCCAAAAAACAGCACCAGGTTGCACCAAAGCAATCTCGGCCATTCTCTGCAGGAGGCCCTTCAAATGCACCCTGGAGTTTAGCACAGTCAGGGAATAAGGAATGAACTCTCTGAGCCCAGGAATAAGACTTGGGAGTGTGATGCTGACTCTGCAAAGTATTTACGGACAAGCCTTAGAGAGAAAAAACATTTCGAAGAGCATAAGGTAAAAATCAGAGCCAGACTGATTTCCTAACCACAGGTGTCTGGTTTGGCGAAAGGGAAGAGCCTGAGTCGGGCACCTATTTCCAGTCTCCCCACTGACCAGAAGGTGTTCTCACGTTAGTCACATCTCAGTGACATTTAACCAACTACGCTGTCTCTAATGGTTCTCAATAACAGCAGACTAGAGGAAAAGCCAAGAAATGGCTTTGCTGCTTTGATGTCACCAAGCCAGAAACCTACCGAGGTCTGGTGATGGTGGAGACTTCAGGAGAAATACAACTGAACAAATGTTGATGGTTTATGATAGTCCATTACGAGGCCTGGGGGCCAAGGAGGGCTGGATCCCCTAGTCAAACGGCAGAAGTTCTAGGCCCTGATCATAACTTTTCTTCCATGACTGGCCTCCTTATCATGGCCTGTCAGAACCTCCCCCGTCTTTCCAGAGCCAGCTCAAATACTCTCTTCCATGCAACCATCCCTGAATTTCCCAAATGAGAAGTCATCCCTCTTTCATTGGATTCCCATGACGTGGTATTTCTCATGAAGGGCCCACCTTATTTCTGCCTCATAATCTGTACACGTGTGCACAGCTTCTCTCCCCAGCTCCTTGATGGTAAGACTTAGGCACAAAGCCTGGTACACCTGGACACCCAATAAAGATGATTCCCAACTCTTCACAAGCTGCAAAGTATTGGCCCATTTCACAGGTGAGAAAACTGAGCCCAGGTTACATCATGGTCTAAGGGCCGTCGGCTGTTAACATGGGATGGGGAATCTGAACCAAGCTCCTCTGAATGTGTAGTAGCCTTTGATTCTTCCTTCCTTATCGTGCTGCCCCAAGGGGTTGCTGAAAAGTACATTTAAAAGTGTATTTAAAATTAAAAATGAATTTAAAATATCAAAATTAGTGAAGACTTGATGACCTCTACTTCTGCACACACAGAAGATCAATAAACTTATTCTCCGTATTTCGTTGAGCCTCCTATGCCCCTTTTGTCCTCACTGATTTCCTAGTAGGTCATAGGTGAGTAACAGTTTTCCCAATTGAGAGAGAAAAAAATGAAGATAAAACCATAATTATTCTACAACTGTCAAGGTTATCGGAAAAGAAAATGTCCAAGTTGGCAGAAATGTAGCAAATATGAAAAGAAACCATAAGCCTGTGAGCACCCGAGAGGGGCTTATAAACTCAAATGATCTACGTGGGAAAATATTAAACCTGAATTTATCAATGCTATACCTTCAAATATGTATTGCCTAAAAATGCTAAAATGTCTTCAAGTGGCAAAAGAGAATATGCAAATGTCACAAGATCCATTGCTTATGTCAGAACAATATTTTTACTGGGGACTTAGGTAATAAACTACGTTAGAGCACCCAGACAAGTATCAACTCAAATAAGGGAAGGTCTAGACTCAAATGCCTTTTTTCTAACGTGTCACATTTTATGGATGTGATTCTACCCAAAACTGGCTACTCTTAAAATTAAGAGCTAGTATCTCTTCCATGTGAGTCTAACATGTACAAAATGCTTGTGATGTCCCTAGAAATCGGGTGCTGTAGGATCATTACCGCCTTTCATCCTAAGAAACACCTCACCGGGATGATCATCTCCATTCCCAGCGGAAGAAACTGAACCTTTGTAAGGTTCAATGAACCCAAATCGCACAGCTGGTAAGCAGAGAGACTGAGGTGCAGCCCACAGCTGTCTGCCTCCGGGGCCTTGGCATTCAACCAGCTGGTCTCTAAATTACGCTCTATAACTCACTACACCACCACTTTGAGTAGGTCATCAGCCCAACTCGATGTTGCTGAATGTGATTGCTTCCTATCTTCCCATTTTATCTCAGAAATGTTTTCTGCTCAGTGACTGACGTTCTGGTGTCATACACCTACTTATTAGTAATACACGCAACCTGGAAATGTTGCCCTTTTTTATTTTCCTTCCAGGATTTGGGGGAGGCTGTAAGGAGAAATCCTTATGTTATATAGGAATTTAGAGAAAAGGGCTATAATAGCCACCATTTATCAAAACCCTGGCATGTCTGCATTTTACAGGTACTGCCCACAGTCTTGACGATAGTCCCATACCTCCCCCACTGAATCAGAAAGGAAACAGACACCCCAAGTTAATGCCCAAGATATCCAAAGGCCGGAGCTTTTCCACTATGTATGCAGTCTCTGCATCTACAACATCATTCCGGAAAGCCCATATCCTCTGTGGCCATCTCGTGTCTAGGCACTGACATATGAATTCCAAGAGGAGATGAGCAAAGGATCTCCTAACTCAGCAGGTGGTGTTCTGGATTCTTAAAGCCTTTACCAACCCTAAAGAGAGTCACAGAGGGCATTTCAGGACAGCGGCAAAACCTCTTGGAAATCTTCTGACCTAATGTCCGCATTTGCAGTAGGCAGCAAAGACGCAGGCAGGTAACGGGATGTGTTCACAGTGACAACGCCGGGGACAGGACTCCACTCTCAACAACATCCGCGCCCTGGGCCTCCTTTTCTGCCGAGGAGGGAAGGAGAACAAGAGGCCCAGACTCCACGTTCCCACGCCACGCAGCAGCTGAACACAAACCTGCCCTGTAGGACCCCCTTCCCACCAGTGTGTGTGCCCATCCACGGCGCCCCAGAACACAGCCCACACACGGGTCCAGTTGTCCTGTGTGGTTTTGGCAAAAGCATCAGACCCTGCAGAAAACCCTGAACAGCAGCCACCCATCCCAACATCTGCTTTTCTGCAGAGACGTTCAAATCCGGGAGAACAGAAAGGGCTGAGCTGTCACCAGAAATGCAAGGTCATGCAGAGAAACAGCCCAGCACAGGCCTAAGTGTTCTGAGCATCGAGAGCTGAACTTGATGAAGGTCAAGAGAAAATGCCTGAGCGCTGTTTATTACATCCTCTACATTCCACCTCCTTCAATTACCCAGTTTTTTTTTAACATTAAAAAAAAAAAAAAATCACAAGGACGCCTGGGTGGCTCCGTTAGTTGCGCATCTGCCTTTGGCTCAGGTCATGATCCCAGGGTCCTGGAATTGAGCCCCGTGCTGGGCTCACCGCTCAGTGGGGAGCCTGCTTCGCCCTCTGCCTCTGCTGCTCGTGCTGTCTCTCTTTCCCTCTTGCTCTCAAATCAATAAAATCTTAAAAAAAAAAAAAAATCACATACATATAATCTATTCATTATTTTTAAAAGTGACATCTATTCAGGCTACAAATAAATTTAATTCCCCTCTTTTCAGGAATGCCCCCCTAGCCTCTTAGGCAATCGAATATAATCTATCTTGTCATGTTAGGGGTCAATGTCAAACATATCATTTGCAACTGGCTCAGTGTTGGGAGGCAAAGGTTTAGCTTTCTGTTGTATGTGAAAATGCTCTTCATGATTTGGGGACACGTGTATCTGTCTGAATGTTACTGGCCATATAGACTGTCAGTACTCACCATTTACTCTTAGAAATTCTTCCTCCTGGGATGCCTGGGTGGCTCAGTTAGTTAAGCGACTGCCTTTGGCTCAGGTCATGCTTCTCCCTCTGGCCCTCCCCCTCTCATACTCTCTCTCCTATAAATAAACTCTTAAAAAAAAAAAATCCTTCCTCCTGGACACACACAACCACCCACATTCAAAGGGCCATGAGGCAGACCAGGGTTCCCAGATGGCTTACGAATGGGAAAGGCAGAGGTGTAAGCATGAGAAGGAAAACCTCAGCTACTGGTACCCAATTAGGGTTGGACCCTTCCCAAGTGGACGACACACAGGTACGGGAACCACACGCTGGCCTCTTTGGCCACTCACTCCCGGCAGCCCCTGCGTTGACAAGACCCCGCTCGTGGTACAACACGCAAACTCCACAATGTGTTGATAATGTGGTCTGCCTCAGGACTTCTTTCCCTTTTTAGAATAAGTGTTGCTACTCTGTGTGAATGCCTGTTCAATGCTCAAACTGAAGGTCCGCAAAACAAGCTCTGGATTTTTTTTTTTTTAGATTTTATTTACTTATTTGAGAGAGAGACAGAGGGACCGAGAGAGAGAGAGAGAGAGAGAGAGAGAGAGCGAGGGCAAGCGCACGTGCACGCGAGCACGAGCGGGGAAGACAGGGAGAAGCAGGCTCCCCACTGAGGAGGGAGCCCGACATGGGGCTTGATCCCAGGACCCTGAGATCATGACCTGAGCTGAAGGCAGACGCTTAATGGATTGTGCCACCCAGTTCTGGACTGGAACTGCCAAATCCCTCCCGTGTTTCTGCACGTGCAACACTGTCCTGGAGCAGGACTCCTGATGGCCTGCCATCGCCCACCTGCCTCGGTCTCTGGCATCGAGCTTCTCACCAGTGCCACGCTGGTCTCCACCTCCATTACCCAATGCTAAAAGCTCTTCCTTACATTCGTGCTCAGCTGGGAGGCATCGTGGCCCCGTGGAAAAGCACAGAATCTAGGGCAGGCCAAAACCGAACCTGAGCTGCGAAGGTTTAGGTGATTTGTTTCATCTCTCCAAGCCTCAGTTTCAGCAACTACAAAATGAGGATGGTGCCCGGTAAAAGACCGAAAACTCATACACCTGTGTGTGCACATGTGTGCACGTGCGGGGGTGGGGGGGGGACAGGCAGAAAAATGATGGGTACACGGACTCGGAAAACATGGGAATTATTACTACTGTTTTACATTTGCTCTCCCTCTTCCTTCGCGGCATTTCCATTTTGACAAAAACCCAGCTCATCGCTGCTAAGTTGATGTTGTTCCTGAAGACACACCATCTTTCATTAACAATGACCCAGGGGAAGGAAACAGAAGCCCATTAAACAAGCAATTATGTTTGTCCACATCATAAAATGCTACTCATCTGATAAAATCTAGGATGTTCAAGCCACTGTTCAAGCAAAATTACTATCTCCTCACAAGGCTGGCTTAGAGCCTTCAATGCCCTCCCTTGAAAAGTCTGTCCCAGCCTTTTCCACCCAGCATAAAAGAACAGTCGGATGTCCAGACCGCATTGAACAGACCCCGGGGTGAGCCCTTTAATGCTATTATCCACTGAATTTTATGACCCAAAGGGAGTCACACAGTATTTATCAGTATGTGGGTTTTTTCCCTTTTTTTTTTTTTTTTGCTAAATTATATTCTCCTATCAGATAAGTTCGTTTTCCGCATTCATTCATCCATTTGACCGAAATCCCAAACACAATTAAACAATTCATCTTGTCATTTTCTGCAAAACAATGTCATTTCTGCAAACAATCTCTCCCCTTGTGAAAGGACGTAGTATTCCAAAAAAATTTTAAAGCATTTCCTTTTCTTTAAATAATAAATCACACGTGAAAAATCAAGCAGAGAGGAGACCTACGGACCAAAAGGGACCCAGGAGATGGATCAACCAAGTGCAAAGCACAGACCTTACGTGGAGTCCGATTCAGACCAACAGCTGACAAGATCCCCTCACAAGGTAATTAGCGAAATGGAAACTTGACCAGAACGCTGACGGTATTACAGAATTGGGGCCATTTTTCAAGGACGATAACATGGTTTCTTTTCAAAGGAGTTCTCACCGTTTAGAGAACAAAGGAACTAAGTGCAGATGAACTAGGTGAGGTCTAGGTTCTGCATCAGAATTTGGGGTGTTGGTGGGGCTGGCAAGAGAGCAGGGGCGCCAGGGAGGACAGACACCCCCCACCCCCAGCAGAGCATGGCTAAAGCTGGGGGATGGGTACACAATGGGTCGTTACACGACTCTGCCTTTGCAATTTTTTTTTAACTGTCCCTTTAAAAAGTTGAAAGTGAGTAAAACTCGGGCACCTGCGTGGCTCCGTTGGTTAAGAGGCTGGCTCTTGATTTCGGCTCAGGACGTGATCTCAGGGTCACAGGATCAAGCCTCACATTGGGCTCCGCGCTCAACGTGGGGTCTGCTTGAGATTCTCCCTCTTCCTCTACCCCTCCCCTCACTCACACTCTCTAAATAAATAAATACTTTTTTTTTTAATAAAGGGAATTAAGGGACGCCTGGGTGGCTCAGTGGGTTAAAGCCTCTGCCTTCCGCTCGGGTCACAATCCCAGGGTCCTGGGATCGAGCCCCACATTGGGCTCTCTGCTCAGCAGGGAGCCTGCTTCCCCCTCTCTCTCTGCCTGCTTCTCTGCCTACTTGTGACCTCTGTCTGTCAAATAAAATCTTTTAAAAAGGGGGGGGGTAAAACTTCACACAACCAAAAAAAAAAGCACCCACTGAATGTCATCATCACGTCAGGATTAAAACAGGAGTGTACATGTGCAGAGGAATATGGGCCATTTGCCCACAAGACCAGCTTTAAGCATTAAATGACGTCCAGAGATCTTCCAAACATAAAAAAGGAACTAAGCCTTGTTGTTTACACCAACACTATTATGATTTGACACTCCAGTGGCAGGTAACAGCAGAGTTCCTTACCTTTCTCAAAGCGCAGGCCTTTATCACTTTCTCGTATCGTTCCTTCTCATATTTCTTCCCAAATAAAATGTTACTCCTCACAGTTCCCGAAAACACCCAGGGCTGCTGAGAAACGTAGGCGATCCTTCCATGCACGCTGACCAGCCCCCGGCTCCGGGGCAGCTCACCGAGGACGGTGCTCAACAGCGACGACTGAAACAGACGGCAAACGAGTCCCTGTCGGCAGTGGCACCCGGCACAGAGCTGGCCACCGCCATCCCCAGCCTGCCCCGGCCCTCGGCCTTTGAGACCCCTCAGAGGTCCTTCCCTTTCAATACAATACGGGACAGCCCTGGAAGGTACAATCAAAAATTTCAAAACCCACAAAAGTGAGTATCAGCCTGCTCTGCCCAGTGGCATCTCCCCCAGATGAAAGGGGCTACTCGAGGACTGAGAATGTTGGCCATTCTAAGAGAAGGCTGGCATGCTCTGCACTGCGTAAGTCCGATATGGGCTTTGTAAGCAAGGAGGGGGCCCTGCACCCAGGCCTCCTTTACTTGAAAAGACACTTATTCCTGGAAGGCTACGTGTAAACCCTCTATCCCACGCAGCAGAAACTCTGAAGTGAGTCAGGCTGGCAGAGAGAAAATCCATCTGAAATAATTGCCCCGTCATTCATATATTCTACACTTAACTTCCCCATTTTTGTTTCCGATGTATGAGGCTAAGTGCGGCATGCACACTTCCTTTAAGTCTTTCACAACACGCGGACATGGTACGTCTGCGCCTACTACTATCAGAATGCTCCGAACGCTGAACTGAAAAAATCCTTTGGCGCATCTGTCTTGCCCCGGGACCTGGTTGCTTCTAGAGGGCAAATGAGTCTGAGCCTTCTTACATGTGTATCTTTTGCTCCCAGCACAGCGCCATGCACACGGCAACACAATTACCACCTGTACAGTGATATGACGAGGGGGAGTCATCTAAGGAAATGTTTAAAGCTTTCCAGAAGGGCCTTTACAACCTCCAGGTTTCCTACAGGTCCTGCTCTGACAAAAGTAAGTCCCATTTTCTTGGCTGTTCTATCTCAAATAGCAGTCACATCAAGAATCTGCTTCACTGAGATATCCAACCTCCAGACAAGCATTTCTAGATTGTGTGACTTGATGCACCAGGAAAAACACAACACACACTGAGCAGCTTGATTTGGCTGTGTAACCTTCTTGCAAAGCTAAGGCTCCAAGGAACCCCTTTTGAGAAACACATTCTAGATAGACCCAATTCAAAACTGTGTGACACAAGGCCCAACCTCAAGAATTTAATATGGGATGTGGCATGGCAGTGAGCTGACACAAGGCATTATGACTTACCTTTCCTGCTCCCACAGGTCCGATCACTGCTAACAATTCCCCCGGTCTCACAGTAAAGGAAAGGTCTTGTAGGGTTGGCGTTTCTGATGTCTACGGAATGAAGTTTAAAAAAAGATGCTCATTTCAATAAAGTAACACAAATCACCCCAAGAAGAAAATAAAATCATAGCCACTGATATGTGAACATAACCCACATATCTATCCTTCCTATCTGAAGATTCTGTGTCCCAGGAGTCCTTTTCACTCAACTCTTTCTCTGGGGTTTAGCTGTCTTTTGAAGACCTGTTCTCTTATCAGATTTGGGTATGAACCCAGTTCTCGACATCACAGAATTTAAATGGTAGGTATGACAAGGCACCCTCTCGACATGAAAATTTCTTAGTACATGGTACCATGAAAAGAAAATAACTAACAGAACATTCAGTAGAGGAGGGGGTTTTGGGTCATAATTTTCATATTTTATTTAAATTCAATTTCGTTTACATACAGTGTATTATTAGTGTCAGAGGAAGAGATCAGTGATTCACCAGCTGAATGCAACACCCAGTGCTCGTCTCATCACATGCCCTCCTTAATGCCCATCACCCAGTTGCCCCATCCCCCACCCACATTCCCTCCAGCAGCCCTCAGTTTCCTATAGTTAAGAGTGTCTTATGCTTTGCTTCCCTGTTTGTATCTTTTATCTTTTTTTCTTCCCTTCCCCTATGTTCATCTGTGTTGTTACTTAAATTCCACAAATGAGTGAAATCACATAATTGTCTTTCTCTGACTTATTTTGCTTAGCATAATACCCTCTCTAGCTCCATCTACGTTGTTGCAAATGGCAAGGTTTCAGTCTTTTTGATGGTTAATAATATTCCATTGTGTGCGTGTGTTGTGTGTATATAAGTATGTGTGTATATATAGCTCACATCTTCTTTATCCATTCATCTGTCGATGGACATCTGGGCTCTTTCCATAGTTTGGCTACTGTGGACATTGCTGCTATAAACATCGGGGTGCACGTGTCCCTTCGAAGCACTGTGTTTGTATCCTTTAGATAAACACCTACTAGTGCAATTGCTGGGTCATAAGACAGCTCTATTTTTAACTTCTTGAGGAACCCCCACTGCTTTCCAAAGTGGCTACACCAGCTTGCATTCCCGAAGGCAGTGTGAGAAGGTTCCCCTTTCCCCCCATCCTCACCAACATCTGTGGTTTCCTGAATTGTTAATGTGAGCCATTCTGACCAGTGTGAGGTGGTATCTCATGGTGGTTTTGATGTGTATTTAGTATGGGAGGTTTTTAAAATTTTATATTATGACCCTAGGTTTTAATCTTCTATTCCATTAGCCCCCACAAGGTGGCAGCACAAGTACATGGCAAGCAGGGGGCCCTTCGCTGGTAAGTAATTTGAAAGCTCCAATAATCTCAGTAATGCTCACAGAAGCCAAGAAGGCACTTTACATTATAAGGTCACTCTGGGCAAAAAGACTCCTGTCAGTGGTGGCCAAGGTTGTAATCACAGCTCAAATTTAACACCAACAAAAACAACGCCTAAATGAGAATGGGATTGTGGGCCACAGTGATAAAGTCCGAGTTTTCTAAATGTAGCATGTCTTTATTACCTGTCCTAAACAGGGACAGCAAAGCACTTCTCCTGTTAAGGACATGAGGAGGTGTGCACGACAGCACAGAACCCAACACAAGGAAAAAGGATAAAGCAAAAATCATGCTGATCAGAAGTTGTATTCCTGAACATTCTATACATTCTAAGATAAAGGGGTGCCTGCGTGGCTTAGTCAGTGAAGCGTCTGCTTTCAGCTCACGTCACGATGTCAGGGTCCTGGGATCGAGCCCCACATCAGCCTCCCTGCTCAGCAGGGCATCTGCTTCTCCCTCTCTCTCAAATAAATAAAAATCTTTTTTAAAAAAAATCTAAGTTAAAGAGACATTGGGTTAAGAAAAGTCTAAGTGCCCGTGCTAAAAAAAAAAAAAAAAAAAGTTCAGTTTTACAGTTCTGCAATTCAATCTGTTCTTTAAGGGGTCAAATTAGATTCACTTCCATAGAGAACTTCCAAATATTAGAAAATCACTTGCTTAGTGAAGGGTGTATTAAATAAGGGAGCTTAGCAGAGCATGGTAAAAACTGAAATGAGGAGGTTTCCTTTTCAAGCAATACTTGGAATTATCTATCTTTGAAGCAAAAGGTCAAGGTTACGAAGAAGGACAGTTCTAATTGAGACTAAAGACCTCAGTAGTAGTCGCCAACTATGAGAATGTTTGTCCAAACCCAGAAGAAGATCGAAAGGAACTGCTTAAGGTGAAATTTAAAAAGGAGCTACTATTTGGGGATAATTCTGACTGTGGGCTTTGCTCACCCTGTTATGATCCCCACCTACCTTCCCATGAGATCCTTCTGTGGGATGAGATCCCATGAGATCCTGACTAGGCACAGCCCTACGGCTGGGGATCTAGTGCGCGATCCCAAGCCCTTTTGGAAGACCACTAGTAAAGGGCTAGTGTTCTGCAGACACAGGTAGGAAACGGCCTCCCTTATCACAGGAAACTGACTGGGAGCTGATCCAAGGCAACGCCACCTCCGGCATTCTAGAAAAGGATTCTTCAAAAACAAAGGGCAGAAGCTGCTCCTCAGAACAATCCCGGCAAGTACAACAACCCAGGACGGGGGTAGGAAGAATCCAACCCACGGATAAGCGAAAGCAGTGGAGATTGGGCAGCGGAGCTAACCTTCCCACAGACACGTGCAGACCGGGACGCTCCAGGCCTGACCTTCAGGACCCCTCCCCACTTCCTGGGTGGCTACATGCAATTACGAAAATGCCCGAGAGACTAAAAGCACAGCAGAAGTGAAAGGTCTGGATCATTTTCAAAATGAAAAAAACTTCTCCGGAAAGAACTGAATGGATTACAAAATGGGTACGGACTAAAACAGCGATAATTACACTCCATCGCCAAAGGAAAACCAGCCTCAGAGTCTATAAGAATTCTAAAACTATTAAGAAGCTGGATGTCCATACGTAGAAACATTTGTTTTAAGCTTCTCCACTCCTTTCCTCATGTCTCATAACTAACTAGTTCCTATTTTGCTACATTTGACTCCAGTTACAACTACAAACCAGCAGTCACATGCCCACGCCAGCTTCCTGCTCCCTGGACCCCAGAATTTCTTGCCGGCTGGACAGGATTCGCTTCCCTGGGGAGCTTCAGGATCGGGCGCTGCTCGAGCGTGACCAGCAGGGGGCAGCATCTGACAGTTGAGGGGCACTCTGTCACCACTATGCGATGCCCTCTCACGGTGCCAGTCACCTGCTGGGCCCTGGGGAGGCAGCCGTGAGCCACGCAGATGAATCACCCCTGCCCCGTGGCAGCTTGGAGGTTCCCACCGGACCATGCACGTCAAAGCTGACAGACTAAAACCAAGTGCATTCGTCTCATGAATGAACCCCCGTGGGTGAGACTTTGCCCAGTTACCCACCCGGCTGTCTGGCACAGCTGCTCAGAACGTCCACGCCCTTCTGCTGCCCAGCCCAGCGAGCGCAACCTTTGGCCTCAGCTTCCCTCCCAAACCCCCAAGGTCTGTGCCCCTCCCCGACCCAAGGCTCCCACCTCTGTGGCCTAATCATACAGGCCCTCATCACTCCCAGCATGAGGCTCGATCCTTGCACGGATGCGGCCAAGACACCAGAATGGGGTGTCCACTGCTACAATACAAGCCGCAGAAAAAAAGTCGAGAACACGTTCGTAAGTACTAGAGAAGCGAACAGAACTGCTCACTTAACAGAGCTGCAGGGTTTGGCACGGAAGCAGTTTGGTGATGGGTCACCTCCCATGGGAGGTGGTCACGACCTCAGTGCTTTCTAACTCAGGGGCATTCGCAGACGGGAACTTCAGCGGTGCTTTCTAGAAGGGCTCACGATGTATCACGAGGAGAACTCTCCGGCAGGAGGGAATCTGCCGCACCAACGAAAAAACGGTCCAGTGAGGTAATACCTGGTGTGAGCGTCCACGTGCGACAGTGCGTGACGTGGCTCTCTGCGTTTGGAGACACAGGAGGCTGGCACCCACAGCCCCCCACCTGCTGCGTCCCCTCTGCAGGGCCCACAGAGCAGGCCCTCCCACCACAGTCCCCACTCCTGCTGGCTGCCAGTCTCCTGAGCTCTGCTTCAGATGGGTGACCCTCTGGCAGAGGCCACCTCTTCCTGGCATCCCTCCCGCCTTTGCTCATCTCTGGGTTGCCTCAAACACCACCCTTTGCCCTCTTTGCTCCTTTGTTCTTTCTCTGCTTAGGTGATGAACTCCCTTTCTCATGGTGTGAGCTCTGTTCTCCTGACTAACCCAGACTCTGACGGGAGAATGCACATAGAAGACCACAGGAGCAGGCCAGGAAAGCGGTTCAGCTGTGGACAAGGGAGGCTGCACTGGGCCTGCAAGGCTGAGAAGGTGAGCACAGTCTCTCCTGCTTTTCTCATTTGCCTAAATGTCATAAAAAAGCCAAGTGTCAGAAAACCCTCATGACCTCACCTAGTCTATCTGTCCGCTTGCCCTGGAGCGAAACCCTTAAGCTGGGAATCATCGCATTGCCTAGTCCCACCTGCCGCCTCCTCCCTGACCTTGGCTGCCACCAAAGCAGCTGGAAAACTTCCAGAAGCTGAGCACAGGGGAGCCATCACCCTACCCCACAGCAACGACGTCAACGTAAAAAACATACATTGATTCCCCCAAGTCTCTCCTCCATAAGAATATGTATCTTAGTTAATCTACGTGTCCTGTGTCATTCTTCTGTTCAATCCTGTACATTCGAACATCTCCAACTTACGTACTCATTCCGAAAAAATGTGGTAATACGTGGAAAGTTCTCTTAAAGATAGGGAACAACACATCAAATGCCTTTAACTGATTTTATACTTTATCAGTTGCAAACCTTATTCCTGATTTTGAGCATTTTTATAACACACTTTCAAGCAAATGCGGCCAGTCACATTTTATACCGTGGGAGAAAAATCTCAAAATTCACATCCACGTGACCAGTCGTCCTACAGCAGCTGTGATCTCATGAGGGGTGATACGTACCTTATCCCAAAAGGCAGTGACGTCCTGCACGTGCACTATGGTTTTACCATCTGATGGCCGCTGAGGGGTGCGCTGTGAGATCTCGTCAAGCAACAGAAAGTTCTGCAGAAGAAGGAAAAAGGCGGGCTGAGCTGCGGGAACGAGACACACACGAGAGTAAGTGCTTCCCTGGGAATCTGCTGTGGAGCATTCTACACAGCCCATCTACCCCTTCACCAACTGTAGCTGAAGGCTTGACAGCAATCACGACACAGTATACATCAGGTAATTGTATAATAGAACGCATATACAGAAATAAAGAGTTCACAAAGTTATCTTCATAACCCTCCCAACAAGGGTCCTGAACCTTCCCTGAAAAGAAAATACAGCTCCAAACAGTGAACACATTTAGAACCTGGACATTTTTGTTTTACTTCTGTGTTACCAACAATAAACAGGGGAGTTGGTAGAAAATGATTCCATAAATATTGACCTAATCCCACCATGTGCCAAGCACCACGCCAGAGGCTGGGAACACAAAGATGAAGGCCAGCATCGCACCCCACCCCTCCCCAACCACCTTCAGGAATCGAGTTGGCCCCAAAGGCCCCACAGGCTGGGAACACAAGACCAGTGGCAAAGACTCTGGATGAAAAACAGGGCTCTGCCCGTTTATTTGCAGTGACCTTTCCCTGGGCACTTAGGCTCATGTTCTCCCTGTACGTGTCCAATCAGTGTATCATTTGTCATTAACTATCCTTTGTCATCATTCTTTTTTATTTTTATTTTTTTAATTTGAGACAGACAGCATGTATGGATGTGCAGGGAGGGGGGAGGAAGAGGAAGTAGACTCCCCATTGAGCAGGGAGCCTGATTTGGGGCTTAATCCCAGGACCCCAAGATCATGACCTGAGCTGAAGGCAGATGCTTAACCAACTGAGCCACCCAGGTGCCCTGCCCCCATCATCATTCTTTTTTTAAAAAGAGAGAGAAAAAGAGAGAAAAACTCCTAACAAGTTTCTACCTCTTATTAAAAAAAAATATTTTATAAGCATTTCTCATTATCCCTCAACTCTTCTCCTTAGTAAATACCCTAGACAGCAGAAACAGCCACATCTTCCACTCCCTTCCCTTTTCCCCACAAGTTAGCAGCTCAAGGCTGCAATCCGACTGAATTAAATGAAGCCCTGGGGGGGGGGTGCTGGGTGGCTCAGTGGGTTAAAGCCTCTGCCTTCGGCTCAGGTCATGGTCTCAGGGTCCTGGGATCGAGCCTCGCATTGGGCTCTCTGCTCAGCAGGGAGCCTGCTTCCTCCTCTCTCTCTGCCTGCCTCTCTGCCTACTTGTGATCTCTGTCTGTCAAATAAATAAAATCTTTAAAAAAAAAAAAAAAAAGAAAGAAAGAAATGGGGTCATTGCAGATGTGACTAAGGTGCGGTCGTGGCGGAGCAGAACTTTAGAGGGAGTTCTAAATCCAGTGCGACTGGTGTCCTTAGAAGAAGACAAAGAGGGGCACCCGGCAGGCTCAGTCGGTGAAGTGTGCAGCTCTTGATCTCGGGGCTGTGAAGGTGAGCCCCACGTTGCGTACAGAGATTACTTAAAAATAAAATCTTAAAGGGGCGCCTGCGTGGCTCAGTGGGTTAAAGCCTCTCTCTGTGGCTTGGGTCATGATCTCAGGGTCCTGGGATCGAGCCCCACATTAGGCTCTCAGCTCAGCAGGGAGTCTGCTTCCCCTTTTCTCTCTGCCCACCTCTCTGCCTACTTGTGATCTCTCTATGTCAAATAAATAAATTTTAAAAAATAAATAAATAAAATGAAATCTTAAGAAGAAGATGCAGAGACACACAGGCAGAAAGCATCAGCTGTCTGATGAAGACAGAGATCAGAGTGACGGGACAGCAAGCGGAGGAACGTCAAGGTCTGCCCACAACCACCGGAAGCCGGAGAACACGAGGAAGGCTTCTCCCTTTTAGGTTTCAGAGGGATGGTAACCCTGAGGACAGCTGGATTTCAGGCTTCTGGCCTCCAGAACCGTGAAACCACAAATTTCTATTGCTCTGATCCACCCAGTTTCAAGAAACTTTGTCCCAAGAGACCTAGGAAACTGACACACAACTGTAGGAAGATTTGTGCAAAAGAGAAAAATCACGTACCCTGTGTACACAGCTTACACAAGAGTACTCTAGGACCCACGGGGCAAACCTAACCCTAACCTATGTGGGAAGCAGCTGAGGTAAGCCCGTGAAATCATTTTAGGGAAATAACACATAAGTCACCTGCTCCTCCAAAAATTGCCAACGTGCTCGAAGTCATTAAAATCTTGTTTACCAGTCTCAAAGCTACAAGTCGGGTACCACATTCTACTTGGCGAGAACCAGTAAAGCTGACCATGCCAAGTCTCTTCGGTGCAGGAAAACACACTCCCACACATTTCTCGAAGAGCCAGCCAGCATGAGGCAAGGTGTGCTTGCTCATTCCCCACTTGTCCGGGGTCCGGGCTCGCTGGGAACCTGGCTACCTGCCCCACGCCTGTGCTGAGCAGGGCAGCAGAACAGACAGATGATGGATGAGGGCTCCCCCTTGCAGGCTTTAACACCAGCCTGACCCAAACTCTCTCTCCCCACCGCCTCTCCCTTCGTCAACCAGGGAGCGATGCTTGCCTGTTGTGCCACAGTTCTGCTCCCTCCCAATTCTTCATTCCTCTTCAAACAATGTTACTTTGGAATCTTACCAGCAATTATTTACGATACTGACACAGTTTTTGGCTGCCCCCCCTGTACCTCCCAGTTCCTTCCCCAGCAGCCCCAACGGCGCCAAACTTATCCCAAACCCCACCCCCTGCTGATCCCACTGAAACACTGAGGAGGCCCACCAGGCTTAAAACCCTTTAGCGACCCATGAGCACCTAAGTCAGCACTCCCCGAGCGGCCTCGACCTTGATACCCTCGAGTACTAAACCAACCCAGCATTCTCAGCCTGTCTCAGGCTCACAATGGCCCCAGCTGGCAAAGCCCACCCTACTTCTGAGTGCCCAAAGGGGATATCAAGTCATGGCGACGGAGAAGACGATGCCATTCATGCACTTACAAAGAGCCCCAGCTCCAACATTAATACTGAGCCTCACAAAAGGTCAGCACATCAATAGACAACCCCTAAGGTACACACAGACCATGTGACCGATTCCAGTGGGTCTAACCGCTAACTACATCGCTACAGTCTTACGCAGCATGAGTTAACAAGGCAACAAGCAGAAGGTTATAGATATTATAAATCTCGTCGAGACAGAAGAGAATTCCAATTTTATAGCATAAACATATTACCAAGGTATAAAATTCAATATTCAGCAGGTGCATATTAGAATAGCAATCCTCCTCCCACCTTCAAGAGAAGAAAAACTACGCACACATTGAGAAAGTAAATCTATTGAAAATTTGTCCAGAAATAATAGATCTGAGTGGAGAAAGAAGTCACAGTTTCCCAGAGGTTAAACGAGATCCCATTCAACACATGAACGCCTTGTACAGGGGCCAGCTGCGCTGGGCAGATTTTTCTCCAGGACTCAGGCTGATGAGAACGCTGACTTTAAATTGCCATTAACAGCCATGAAGTCCATATCCGGAACAGGTCATGCGGGAAAGTGTCAGACGTCAGAACTCAAGCCAGAAAGATTGACTTCGGAGTGGCTGGTGGGCAGAAAAAGCCTAAGCAGCTTTATGAACTATATCATCTCTGAGACACACTTTACTGGATGTAGACATCGTCCAGACTCCCAGTGCTTTGAAGTGAAGACAAGATCTTTTATAATCCTACTGGACCCATTCCATGTCACTAAGAGAAAAATAGAAGGAACTTCTTGGGCCTCTAACCTCATAATAAATCCCTCATTTTCGGTGCGTGGGAAAAAGGAAATGGAAAAGTGTGGGTGGAAAAGACGACACAGCCCACCTGAGACCTTCCCCCATGGCTGTGGACCATAGTGCCAGCTTGAAGGGGCAAAAGTCTACTGGATTTAGCTCCTGCAACTGCCAAATGCGATCGTCCTGGGAACCGTGCTGGGTGGGCGGCCCAGCCCACCGAGTCCCGGCTGTCAGAGAGTCAGAGCTCCCATGTGCCCCTAAAGCTTCTGACCCCACGAGTCAGACCTCGCCCAGTCCTAACCCCCCGGTGAGCGGACTCCGCACACCTTTGCTTCCTCTCCTGCTGCCATGGTTACCTCTCCCTGCACATTAACACATCTAAGTGACAGGCAGGGAAAAGAAGAAGAGTGAACACCGGATCCATTCATTCTGTTTGGCGCCTGTTACCTCTGTCAGGTACCCAAAGTCAAGACATGCTCCTGGAGGGCTCTCCCATCAGGCCCCGTCTACGGCAGCCCAATCCAAACCATGTCACTCCCTCCTGGACTGCATTAGCCTCTCGAAGCACCTTCCGGCTCTGCCCTGGGTCCCCACCCCCACGTCCTCTGCTCCAGTCCCCAGGCTGCAGCCAGAGTGAGCTTCGTGGTGCCTGGAGGCTGCTGTTGCCCCAGCTCGGGCCCCCAGCGCTCTGTTCTGCAGCCTCCGACACTGCTGCTTCCTCAGACACACGGATCTCCTTCCTAGTGTGCCAAGCCCTCTTTAGGAACTCTTGCCACCTAACCACCACCCCCCAAAAATGCAAACTTTCACCCTCCTACCTACCCCTACCCTCTGCCCCTCCCCCACCCCTGCTAACCTCCAACACAGGTAACTCTCCAGGTCACTCCTTCAGCCTTCCCAGGAAGCTTACCTCCAAAATTACAGCAGCCTGTCTGCAGAGCACCTCCGACTTTCCCTTTCAAGGACGGATGACACAAAACACACGTGAACAGTGAGGGTCATCGTTTACGTACCTATGAGCCTCCACTTGATGATACATAAATCCAAGCAGGAAGGACCTCTGTGCACCATCATCGAATATATGCAGCTGGCACAGCCCCAGGCCTAGGGCAGGTGCTCAGTTATTCTGTGGAGTAACTCGATGAATTCCAGATGCGCCCCCCAAAAGGTCCGGCATAAACCAAGACCGGTGTTAGTTTCTCCTCCCAACTGACTTTAGTCTTGCTGTGACATGACCCTGACATCTTTCATATTAGCTTATTAGCACATCCTGCCTTGTGTGCTTTTCTCCATGGCTGGGGCAGTGGTCCCTGCACGTGGCATATTTTCAGACGCACAAGCACACTTGCCTAAGACATAGATACTATGGGCTCCACGTGACCTGGGGAATCAGAGTCTCCAACATGCACTAATTTAGTTTAATCAACACTCCCGGTAATTCTGATGCACTCGAGATCTAAATTTTTTTTTCTTTTTTTTTTTTTTTTAAGATTTTATTTATTTATTTGACAGACAGAGACCACAAGTAGGCAGAGAGGCAGGCAGAGAGAGAAGAAGGGAAGCAGGCTCCCTGCTGAGCAGAGAGCCCGATGTGGAGCTCGATCCCAGGACCCTGGGATCATGACCTGAGCCGAAGGCAGAGGCTTTAACCCACTGAGCCACCCAGGCGCCCCTCGAGATCTAAATTTATTAAAGGGTTACAGAAACCACACGGGCTGAAAAGGAGTCTGAGATCTAAAAGAAAATGAGATGCTTTGAGAATTCCATCAATGCCGCCCTGAAGCAGTTTCCCACACTAACCAACCCCTTCCCACCACTCCTTCTCGGCCACTGGTCTCACCCTTTACTGAAAACTACTCCTGCCAAACAAACCGTAATTCCCCAGGCCTACCCTCCCACCAGAAACTCTATGCAGGGGAGGGAAGATTTAGGTCTCCTGCCCAAGTCGAAGACGCTTCCTTTGAGCAGGACACAAAGCCCTCCACAAAATCACCTCGAAGGAAATTCAAAGTTCTCGGCAGGAACATTCTCTTCGACAGCACAGATGCCCAAATTCCCCGCAGGTCGTGACTTTAATGTTACCGGACATGTCTACACGGGAAGGAATTTTAAGCCTCAGACGCAGCTCAGCTGCATTGTGGCGGAAAAGCGATCAAATCTCCTCCCCATATATTTGACCCCAACTCCCTGAAAACCTTCTGCAATTTCCCTTTTGTGCTACACTATTTTATGCACCACATGATCCATCAGAGAATGAAAGTTAGCGTTTTCCACGAAAGCCACATTCAGTTGCTGGATATCCACAGAATGTCAGAGCCATGGCAGGGCTGCACACTTCCTACAGTGGCGCGTTTTCGGAGTGTGCGCCATCCGTGAGGTGCACAAAGACGAACACGGCCCCACAGCCGCTCCTCAGAAGTCTAGAGTTCACTGAGGAGGCGACCTCCACAAACAGATGGCTTCCAGACACACAGTAAGCGACCCCAGAGTCACATCTGGGGAGATCCGGCGGGTGTGGCAGTCAATTTTCTGTGTCAACTTGGCTAAGCCAGAGTCCCCAGACATTTGCGCAAACACATCTGGATGTTACGTGAAAGTACTTTTTCAGATGAGACTAACTTTAAATAAAGCAAATTACTCTCCATCGTGGTGGGTGGGCCTCGCTCAATCAGCTGAAGTCCTTAAGAGGAAAGAAAAGACTGACCTCCAAAGAGGAGGGAATTCTGTCTGCAGACTGCCTTCTGACTCAAGATGCACTTTAAAGCCACATGGTTTGGGGGCGCCTGGGTGGCTCAGTGGATTAAAGCCTCTGCCTTCGGCTCAGGTCATGATCCCAGAATCCCGGGATCGAGCCCCGCATTGGGCTCTCTGCTCAGCGGGGAGCCTGCTCCCCCCCCCCCGCCCGCCTCTCTGCCTACTTGTGCTCTCTGTCTGTCAAGTAAATAAATAAATAAATCTTAAAAAAAAAAAATTTAAAGCCACATGGTTTTGATCTTCCTTTATTTCACAGTGGCCAAACTAATGCTACTGACCAAGTAAGACTGGTGTTTCCGTCTGCAAGGCCCAAGAGCCCAGCCCAGGAGCTGGGCCAGCTACATTGACTGTGTCCCACTCAGATCCATCAAGTCCACAGGTGCACACACAGAACAGGGGAGACGCAGATCTATGCGCGCTCTAGGTAAAGACCCCTTCTGAGGCCCGCTGTCCCAGGAATGCCCACTCCAGTCCGCTTCCTCACTGCGTTTCTCGGGCTTCCAGTACAGTCTGGGTCCCCTTACACCTCTGCTGGTCCCAGTCCTCCCCTGTAACTGCTGCTTCAGTCAATGCAGTATTTATCTGACGTCCATGACAGGCCCAGCACGGGCCGTGAACTATGCACAAGGACGATCAGATACGATCTGCTGTCCGGGGCCTTCGTATAGTCACAGCATCACCCACTTGACCTGCTACTGAGCAGTGGGGGCACCGGCCCTCTACATAAATAGGGAAGCCTGAGATCAGCATGAACAGAAGTGCTAGAGGAGGTCGTGTGGGTATTTCCCTAAATCAACATAAGAAAAGGCAACCCACAGGGATGAACAGTGGGTGGGGGGCAAAGAGCCCCCCTCCCCCATGCACATGAATGTGGCCTATCACCAACACACAAGCACCACCCCCAACCGCCACCACCAGAGGGGAGGGTTGGGTACTGGGAAACAGAATGTAGCCAGTAGAGCCTTAAACACAGAGTTTACAATCTAGATTCTGCAGGAACCGCTGGGGGCCTCTTCAGAATGAGACTTGATGAAAACCACACGGAAGGAAATACTCCACATGCCAGAAGGCACTGGGAAGGCAACTGTAGGCAACGTACGGACGTGTAAGAAAGCAGGGTCTGGGGAAACTCCCCGCGTGCCCATTGGCTCACCTCCTGCAGGAGGCCCTCCTTACCCATCCAGGGGGGAGGCCAAGCACTGTGGTCTGGAGGAAAGGAGCTCAGGGGCCTGGGCCGCAGCAGGCACCAGCCCACTCACAGCAGGCGTCCGGAAAAGTTTGACGTACACTTAGAACATTGCTGCGGCCAAAGTTATGTTCGTGCTCTTTCAAGATGCAAAAGTTACATAAAAGAAATGTTCTTGAGGGGTGCCTGGGGGGCTCAGGTGGTTAAGCATCTGCCTTTGGGCTCAGGTCATGATGCCAGGGTCCTGAGATCGAGTCCTGCAACAGGCTCCCTGCTCAGAGGGGAGTCTGCTTCTCCCTGTCCCGAATAAATTTTTTTTTTAAATCTTTAATAAAATAAAGAAGTTTTATTGAAATGCATGGGTCACCACTTAAAAGTTGCTGGAAACCCCTGTCGGAAAGAATGGGAAACTTGGGGACCAGAATGGACCCCGTAAGACTGATCTCTCTCCTGGGTAATATTTTTTTATAGGAAGGAAACTTCATCAGAAGAAAATCTCAGCTTTTATGACAAAACTATTTTTAAAAAGGGGAGGGGAAGGGAGGGGAGGAAAGGAAATCAAGCCCCAGAGCCATCAAGCTTCACTAGAGATGTATTACAACATAGCCAGCACTGTGGAGGAACAGGAAAACCAGATTTATTTGTAAAGCCCAGGTACTCAAGTTCATGCCCTGGCCCTGCTCACAGAGCTAATTTATCTTCACGTTCGACCTCTTCACAATCATTGAGCACCTACCATGTGTGGGGCCACATCTTAGTGATGTACATTATTTGCCCTGAGCCATGAAGGGACAGCTAATTTGGAAAAGGAGGTAGTGGGTATGGGGCGGGGGGGAAGGGGAGGACAAATTTGGAAGACCTTCCCAGAAATGGGCTGAGACAGGCAGAAAGTGAAAGGAGATCCACAGGCATTCTCAGAAACCACGCGCTCGGCGTCCGCAGAGGAAGGAACCCACCTTTCACCAGGAAGAAGTACGTGCAGCAGAGGCCATTCTCCTTCCCAAGGAGCAGGGCCCTTCTGCAAGCTCTCTCCTCCTCTGCCCAGAAAGGACTCCTCTTCCAGCCCCTCCCCAGACTGCCACCAGTCGCCACCCAGTCACTGGAGACGGCCCAAGGGGTGAAATCTGCTGGTGCATTTCCTCCTGCTTCAGACGTTTCCCTCACCCTGCTGTTACCCCCTGTGCCCCCCGAGCCCCGGGCCGGTGCTGTTTCTCCTGTCACCCGCACATGAGCCCAAATTCGTTATCTGTGGTGCACGCCACCTGGGATGACAGGGAGGGGAATACAGGCCACATTCTGGGACGACTACTGGCTTCGACGGCAAGACAGTTAAATTTCACCTAACTGCAACGCGATGACACCAAATTCAAAGCAGGCCTTCTGCTTAAATCCATTTATGACTTGAAAAGGTTGTTTGTTGGGGCGCCTGGGTGGCTCGGTCCATTAAGGGTCTGCCTTCGGCTCTGGTCATGATCCCAGGGTCCTGGGATGGAGCCCCGCATCGGGCTCCCTGCTCAGCGGGCAGCCTGCTTCTCCCTCTGCCCCGCCCCCCAGCTTATGCTCTCTCACTCTCTCTCTCAAATGAATAAATAAAAGTCTTTAAAACAATACAAAAAAATAAGTAGATAAAAAGGTTGTCACCAGACCTTGATTCTTTGGATGCTGATGACCGCCTCGGACACCTTCTCAATGGCCGCGGGGAAGAAGAGGGTGACGGTCAGCCGCACAGAGCCATACAGCGACACCACCACGAACACATGGCTTGCTGTGATCACGTTGCCAAGGAGTACATAGGTGGTGAAAGTCACGAAAATGATGATTTTGCTTGCAACGAAAAATGACGCCAAATTCATTCCTCTGAGGTAGGAACTGCTCAGAATCTTGGAAATTTCCTTCCTGGAAAAGAGAGTTTACAAGGAAGCATCAACATCCAAGTCGTGGACTCAAGTGCCTTTTGCATGTGGCCCCTTTCCAGGGAGGGGACCGGGATTAAGACAAACCGTTCCTCAAGTTATGGAAATAATCCTACAGCACACGGCCTGGGGCCGACCCCAACACGAGGACCACACAGTCATCACCGCGTCACTCATCTGAAAAAACAGAGGCTTCATGTCGTTGTGTTAATATCCTGGGTCAGTCGGACCAGGTATGAACATTCGGTCAACAAGCGCGCGTCCGTGCCTATCCTGTGCCGGGCTTCTTGCTGACGGCAGACAGACACGTGGTCTGTCTCCTTTAGGAGCTTAGGAACTCAGAGGAGAAGAGAATAAGCAACCCAAAGATATGTGCATGAGACAGGAGAGTGCGTCCAAAGGTACAAAGTAGATGGCAGAGACATGTGCTGACACAGACATACCGTGTGCGGAAGGGTCAAACTCCCCAAATACTGACATCAAAGACTAAAAACAATTCCACAGACCTAAAGCAAAACAAGGCGTAACAGTATTTCCATGGCTCCGTTTCTCTGTTTCGCATTAATAACACTGATGTACACAGTCTGGCCCAGTCTGTACAAACTTCCCACTTGTGCTACATTAACATAAACTATAGCTTCCATGTAAATGTCATACTTGCAAATGCTACCAGCATTGCTCATTTGGGATTTAGAGACTTAAGAAACATCTGGAATTTCATTTTTGTAGTAGAAGCAGCACAGGCATTCTCCTTCCTTTAAGACAGTAAATGGAAAGGCAGGTTAATGTGGTTTATGGAGCAAGGTGGGGTGGATGGCATTGGGAGTTCACATTCTAAAGGTTAAACACCCGAAGACCCCTCAAATATTTTCGTGGAGGCAGGAGACAGAAAGTACAAAAACAGGCTCCGACAGACACAGAAACTTACCGTCTCAAATGGGTGATAAGGTCTGCAAATGACTTCTCCCAAGCATACATTTTTATTATTCTTATGCCAGTTATAACCTCATTCATGGTCCTGATCCTGACGTCTGTGAAGGCTGCGGTCTTACTCCTAAGGGGACAGACATGAGAGGTGAGCCACAGCCCCACTTCCCTTATCAGCAGCGGCCACAGCCCGAGAACCAGGGATCCAACGATGCCCTACAACGCCTTTGCTCAGACAACTCAGGCAGCTCCTACTCAAAACACAGATGGAGAAAGACTTCAATGAGGAAGTCCACAAAGTCCATCCCAGTTCAAGAAAAAACTTGGAGAATTTGCAGTAGGGGCTAAGGAAGGCACAGGAAAGAGAGTCAGATACAAACTGTCAGCTCCAGGAGGTCACAGTTGGGTAGGGGAGGCAGAAAGGCCCCGGGATCGAACAGTAATACCATTGGCTGCTGTGCAAAAAGTGGGAACAAAGTGCCAGAGCGCAGAGAAGAAAGGGGCTGTCAATTCTACTGGGCAAAGGAGAGAACAAGAGAAGCTTCCGAGTTCCAGGAGTGCCGCAACGGGGCCCCAAGCACACAGAACATTTCTCCCTGGCAAAGAGAGCAAAGCCAATTCCCCACTGAGAAAACACCGTGAGCAGAGACACAGCAGAGAGAACTGTCCGCGTTTCACATGGCGTTATCATCGCGCACCTGACCACCTTGACAGTAACCTACTTCTAACCCTCTGGGACCATCACCTTCTCTACCACATACTCTGCTAGGACTATGGGACATTGACAGACACAAATCGGGGTGGACCTGGCCTCTGGGGAGCTTGTAATTTAATGGACACATTGAATTAAAAACAAGACACACGCCTGCACACCTGAAAACAAGCATCACGAAAACAGACACGGCCAGACCCGGGTCTTGAAAAGACGTTTAAATTGTATTCATATTTAATACATGTTTAAATAATGTCATGGTATATAAATTCTGCTGGAAGACAGTACTTAGGAGGGACAGTGCCTGAAAAGCTAGCCAGGAGGAGACAGCGGATGCCTTTGCCCTTCCGGCTTCAAGACTGGCCCTCAGCTGAAGGCTGGAACCTTCCCCGGGTGAAGCCTGCTCAGTGTGCAATCAACAGAAAGAAGAGATCAGAGAAGCCTTTTTGTTTGTGATCAGAAACACAGGGCAAGCCATGGATATGAACAAACACACATGCCCTGTTTTTTAAACCAGTGTTTCTCTTACCGGAATGATGAAAACAACTTCCCAATGCAGCTTTGCAAGGGCAGAAGGATGATGAGGACTGCGATCCCCGCAAGACAGGATATTCCGATTTCCATCCAGAGCAAGGCAGTCACTGCGATCGCCTGCAGTGGCCCTGCCCACAGAAAGTGCAAGAACATTGTCACCTTAAAAGAAAAAAAGGCAATGCGTTCTTAGGACGACATGAACACAAAACCAGGAAGGACCCAGTACAGAAGCCATCTGCTCTGAGAGGACAGACAGGAACCTACACAGAAATGATCACGGGGGGCTTTAAACTCACTGGAGCAAAAATCCAAGTACCCAGATGAAGCTGTTCCAGAACACCACAGAGTAGGCTTCAGGGACATCCAAGGAGAACTGGACTAGACCACAGCTTCGGAAGAAAGATCTCAATTCTATCTGCCCCTTGCGTGGGCTCAGGGTTCCCCCAAACTTCCTCCCATGGGCTCCCCAGTACCTCGCAAAAGCCTGTATTATGGAACCTGCCATACTCTTGAGTAATTACTTGTATATTTACCTCCCTGATAGGTTGTGGCTTCTCCAGGGAGGAAACTAAGTCTTATTCATCCCTGAAACTAAGAAGGAGCCTTAGTTCATGTTTGATGAATGAATAATTAGAAGTGGTGTAGAGCAATAAAACTCAGACCAGTAGCTACACTGCCCTGGATAGTACGGTATATTCACAAGGTAAGTACAAATGGACTGTGGCAGGGTAAAAAAGAATAGGTCATTTACGCCTAGGGATTACCCATTGGACATTTTTTTTTTAATCAAAGTCTTTGTGGGGCGCCTAGGTGGCTCAGCTGGTTGAGCATCTGACTCTTGGTTTCAGCTCAGGTCATGATGTCAGGGTCGTGGGATCAAGCCCATCGGGCTCTGCACTCAGCATGGAGTCTGCTTGTCCCTCTCCCTCTGCTTCTCCCCCCTGCTCATGCTCTGTGCTCTCTCTCTCACAAGCTCGCTCTTTCTCTCAAATAAATAAATAAAATCTTTTTTAAAAAACGGGGCACGCATCAGGGAAATACAAATCAAAACCACAATGAGATACCACCTCACACCAGTCAGAATGGCTAAAATTAACAAGTCAGGAGATGACAGATGCTGGCGAGGATGCGGAGAAAGGGGAACCCTCCTACACTGTTGGTGGGAATGCAGGCTGGTGCAGCCACTCTGGAAAACAGCATGGAGGTTCCTCAAAATGTTGAAAATAGAGCTACCCTATGACCCAGCAATTGCACTGCTGGGTATTTACCCTAAAGATACAAACGTAGTGATCCAAAGGGGCACGTGCACCCGAATGTTTATAGCAGCAATGTCTACAATAGCCAAACTATGGAAAGAACCTAGATGTCCATCAACAGACGAATGGATAAAGAAGATGTGGTATATATACACAATGGAATACTATGCAGCCATCAAAAGAAATGAAATCTTGCCTTTTGCGACGACATGGATGGAACTAGAGGGTATCATGCTTAGCGAAATAAGTCAATCGGAGAAAGACAACTATCATATGATCTCCCTGATATGAGGGAGAGGAGATGCAACATGGGGGGTTAAGGGGGTAGGAGAAGAGTAAATGAAACAAGATGGGATTGGGAGGGAGACAAACCATAAGTGACTCTTAATCTCACAAAACAAACTGAGGGTTAATGGGGGGGTGTGGGGGGGGGGGATTATGGACATTGGGGAGGGTATGTGCTATGGTGAGTGCTGTGAAGTGTGTAAACCTGGCGATTCACAGACCTGTACCCCTGGGGATAAAAAGATATTATATGTTTATGAAAAATAAAATTTAAAAAAATAAATAAATAAATAAATAAAAAATAAAAAATAAAAACACTTAAAGATCCAAAAAAAAAAAAAAAAAAAACGGGGCACGCGGGTATGTCACGCGGTTAAGCATCTGACTCTTGATTTTGGTTCAGGTCATGATCTCAGGGGCATGAGAGATGGAGCCCCACGTCGGGCTCTGCGCTCAGCAAGGGGCCTGCTTGAGATTCTCTCTTTCCCTCTCACTCTGCCTCTCCCCCCCGCTCATGCAGTCTCCCTAAAATAAATAAGTAAATAAAATCTTTTGTGGGGAGGGCACTTCCTATGTAGCGGGCACTCTTGGAGTCACAGAACAATCCCTGCCCACCAGGAGGTCATCCTATGGAGGAGAGAGGTCATGATAGGGAGGAGGATAAAGGATCCAGCCAGCAGCACCAACCAAGTGTGCTCAGAAGGGCCACTCCTGAAGGACTATGGGACATTTCCCCAGGCTAGGTAAGAACACTGCTGTCTGCGTATATATGACTGAAGTACACTGTAAACGCATTCCGAAAACAAAACTCTTTTCTACCAGACAACACATGTTATTATGAGTTGAACACAAAAGAAATGAGAATTGGATAGAAAGTATCCTCATCTCAGGGCACCTGGGGGCCTCAGTGCGTTAACTGTTTGCCTTCAGTTCAGGTCACAGTTTCAGGGTCCTGGGATTGACCCCTGCGTCGGGCTCTATGAAACAAGGAGCCTGCTTCTCCCTCTCCCTCTGCAGCCCACTCTGCCTACTTGTGCACATTCTCTCTCCCTCTCTCTCTAATAAATATCTAAAATCTTTTAAAAATAGAGGCACCTGGGTGGCTCAGTGGGTTAAGCCTCTGCCTTCGGCTTAGGTCATGATTTCAGGGTCCTGGGATCAAGCCCCTCATCGGGATCTCTGCTCAGCAGGGAGCCTGCTTCCCCCCCTGCCCCTCTGCCTACTTGCGATCTCTCTCTCTGTCAAATAAATAAAATCTTTAAATAAATAAATAAATAAAAATTTATAAAATAAAAATTAAAAAATAAAATTTAAAAAAAAAGTATCCTCATCTTCTGTCCTCAAAAGAAGTCTGGCCTACACCAAAAACTGGCACCTGAAATTCCAAGAAGTTAAACCAAGGAAGAGGGTGGGAATGCAGAAGGCTTCCTGGGGGGCAGCTGACCTGGTCGAACTTGTTCACGTCGTTGGACAGCAGATTGACGATCTGGCCGGTGGTCGTCTTCCCCATGGCCACGTTACTGAGGCGAAGCGCCTGAAACAGAAGAGGGGAACGGAGACTTACGTTCCTGCAGGGACATCAAGCCACACTTGGGAAAAGAGCAAAGTGGAGCGTGTTCTGACGGGACCTTGCATGATGTCAGGGGAGCAAGGCGTCCCGTGAGAGCAGGGCTCTGGGGACCTGCGTTCAGCCTTCCTCCCCTCCGTGGGGCGGCAGCCGCATCCCACCAGGAACAAAGGGAGCAAGAGGAGGCACAAGCCAACTCTCTCACCCCGGTTTTTGATGAATTTGGACACGCTGAAAGTATAAAAAGATACATACTCGGGAGTCAACTCACATAATTTTGACCCACATTCTACGAGTGGAGAGGCCGTCTATGGACAAAAGCTAGGGGACGGACTATATCTGGAATCAGTCATTATTTCTGCGTGTGATGTCATGCAAACACTCCGGGTCTAAAGCTTCCTGTGTGAATGGAAATAACCCCAGGCGCTACCTAGACGGAGCTCGGGGTTCCTAGGAGTGGGACACCTGTCATCCACCAGGAGCAGGACACCAGGTGACTGAGGAGTGCTGTTTCCCATTTAGAAATGGGACAAGATAAGAATAAGCAGCTGTAACTCAAGTGGGACCTGGACAGGTGGGATAGCAGCACAGGGAGCTGGGGACAGTTTCCACAGAGTAGCACTGTGGGCAGGACAGACCCTGCATGATGAACAGGAAAAACCCTATGGGAAGAAGGGAAGAGCACTGTGGCCAGAAGGAACAGCACGCAGAGCCAGGGAAGGGACACATAGAAGCAGTTAAACCATGAACACCTGAAATCTGGCTGGAAAGGTAGAATGAAAGCGGCTCGTGTCTGGAAAACAAAATGGAACAATAAACGTCTTTTTTACATTTGAGTGAGAAACTCAACTTTAGGAAGACTGAACTGTAGAAGTGACTGGCCAGGAGATGCTACAAAGAAGGGGAGATGAGGGACGCCTCGTGATGTAGTCCAGGTGAAAGGTAACAAGACGTGCACTAGGATTGCGTGAAGGGAAAAGGGCCAGACACCTGTGAAGACACTTTGAAAAGTACGAAGTGCCACACAAGTGTAAATAAATCAGTCATAAAAAAAGAAAAATACAACCCTCTCCCCACTAGGGAGAAAAAAAGAAAGAAACGCCCCTCCAGGAAAAGAAAGAAACTTTAGTGTGCCTTCATTACTGAAAGCTATTCTGAAAATATTTTTAAAGCCAAGTTTCCATACAAATACAGGTGAATCCCGCATGCAGAAAATACACTGTCGAAGTACATATCTGATAACGAATTGGAACAATGACAATAAGACAAAATGGCACACAAAACTGATTCTAAAACTGATCATTTTCAAAAAACAAAAACAAAACCTCAAGACAACTGCACCCATCTCTTATCGTCACTCACAGACGGTCACTGCTGCTGACAGAACCAGAGGGTAAGATGGCACAGGTGACAATCTGTACAAAGGGCCAAGCTCCTCTCAGCGGACCATCGGGACACCTTGTCATTTGGTCTCAGCTGAGACTGAGGACAGAAAGGGTGACTCTGGAAGAAATGCTCACCTAGGTTAACAGCAGCACAGCCACCAACACAGAAATGAATCATCTGGCAAAAGAAAATCAGGCATACTCTAGCTAGGCCAAAAACAAAACAAAAAAAAAACCCAAAACCCCGTGGGGTGTCATTCTTGTTATTAATGAGGAAGACAGAGCTTACAAGCCAACTGTCAGACTTCTGCTTCCAACAGAAGTCAGCACTGAACCAGCCCTCGACTGTTAAGACTGTAAAGCTGGACCAAATAGACGAAGCAGCTGTTCCGGCACTGGCCGCCAGGCAGAGCAAGACCGGAAGCCTTCAGAGTCCTATATCTCACCTGGCTTTCTGCCCAGGCACATTTTTGGACCAAGTAGAACAGCAATTTCACTGAGCCAAGGAGGAAGAGCTACCTGTTCCAAGTTGCAGAAATGTCCAGAATTTGCAAGCCCAAGTGGCAGAAGGGAAGGTCCCAAAAGTTTTTGCAGGGAGTTAGCAAGGGGATTTAGCACCCACCGGGGGCTCAAAGGAGACTCCAGAGGTCATGTGAGGGGACACAGAGTTACCACTCAACAAGAATAAAGAGATCTTCACAAGCACCTCGGACACTCTATTTAAACACCAGGAGGGCCATGCCTTAGTAATAAAGATCATACTCTAGGGTAAGAGCCATGCCCCTTAAGACCGAGTTTAAGATGGAAATATCTGCCATAGACAGATACACAGACACGTAAAGTAGGAAGGTAGGTAGTAACATAGGTAGATAGATTCATTCCTGACAGAACCAACCTGCCAAGAATTGCTCATAAGAACAAAATGCAATACACTTTAGTCAAAACCCCCTATAATATTAACCATCATTGGGGTGCCTGGGTGGCTCAGTGGGTTAAAGCCTCTGCCTTCGGCTCAGGTCATGATCCCAGGGTCCTGGGATGGAGCCCTGCATCAGGCTTCTGCTCAGCGGGGAGTCTGCTTCCTCCTCTCTCTCTGCCTGCCTCTCTGCCTACTTGTGATTTCTGTCTGTCAAATAAATAAATAAAATCTTTGAAAAAAAAATTAACCATCATAACATCCAACACAGTAAACAATTATTAAACATACAAAGAAGAAAATGTGACCCAGATCAAAGACAGAAAATAAAGGCAATAAAAGTAGACCCTAAGATGATCCAGATTTTGGAATTAGTAGATGAGAACTATAAAATCATTATATAAATATGTCCAAGGAGTTAAAGAAAGATATGGTTATAACAACTGAACTGGAATGAGTAATTTTAGGAGAACAATGAACACTACCAAAAGGAACCAAATGGAAATTCTAGAACTTAAAAGTACAATATGAAAAATCCACTAGATAACTTTAGAAGCAGAAAAATTCCATTGATCTGTTCCCAGATTCATCAAGTCTTTTAGATTACAATCTGAATAACAGGAGAGAGAGAAATTGAAGGGGGGAAAAATAGCATAAGGGTTCAGTGGGACAATAACAAGGACTGAAACACACATGAAAGTGGATTCATGGAAGAAAACGACAAAATAGGGAAGAAAAAAATATGTGAAGAAATAATGTCTGAAATTTTTCCAAGGCTGGTAGAAAATATTAAATTACATACTGAAGAATCTTAGCAGACACCAGGAAATATCAAAACAAAGACTTTTTTCCTAGGGTACATCAGACTCAGACTGCAGAAAACCAAAAAACCGAGAAAAACAACACTTTACACATAAAGGAACAATACAACTGAGGGCTGACATCAGAAACCATGGAAACAAGACAATGGAACATCTGGCGAGAGTTAAGAGAAAAGAAAGAATAACTGAATACTATAACCAACACAAATGTGCTTCAAATGACGATGGTGAAATTAAGACATCTTCAGATATACAAAGTCTGAGAATTTATCGCCAAACTAAACTTTAAGATATTATAAATTCTTATAAAAGAAATTCTTCAGGGGCACCTGGGTAGCTCAACTGTTTAAGCGTCTTGTCTTCAGCTCACATCATGACCCACGGGTCCTGGGATCAAGTCCCACATCAGGCTCCCTGCTCCACAGGGAACCTGCTTCTCCCTCTCCTTTCTTTCCCTCTGCCCCCACCCCCGTGCTCACTCCCTCTCTCTCAAATAAATAAAGTCTTTAAAAAAAGAAAATTTCATTCAGTCAAAGGATCTGGTAGCAGATGAAAACTCAAGATGTATAATAAGGAATAAAGAGAAACCAAAATGGCAAATATGTAGCTAAACATAAAAGATTACAAATTTCCTTTTAATCTACTTGAAAGACAAACGGCTGCTTAATGCAAAAAATGGTCACAGTGCATGGTGTAGATGTGAATGATAACAAGACCACAATGAATGAGGAAGGGTAACAGAATTTTACGCTTGTACGTTTCTTACACTTTTGTGTAAAAGAGTCCAATATTAAGATTAAACAGACTATACTAAGTTAAGATGCCTATTTGGATCTCTAAGTCAACACTAAAAACACACAAAGAGATACTACTAAAAATCCAATAACGGAATCAAAATGGAATACTAAAAAATTTCTGATAAACCCCAAAAAAAGTCAGGAAGGGAGGAAAAAAAACAGATGAAACAAATAGAAAATAAATAGCAAAGTGAAAAGCTGAAGCCCAATCACATCAGTATTTACACCAAATGTAATACATTAATACTATAAGCCAGAGACTGTCACAAAGAATTAATAAAAAACCCAAATTGCAGTATAAGGAAGACAGATTTTAAATCCACTGACAGATTGAAAGTGAACAGATAAAAAAAGATATGCCACACAAACAATAGGTACAATGAATGTGGTGTGGCTCTATTAACATCAGACAATACAGTGAGACGAGGAACATTACCAGAGATTAAGACAGACATTTCATACTAATAAGGTCATTTCACCACTCCTAAAAGTGTACAGATCAAATTATAGAGTTTCAACATACATGAGACAAAAACAGAATGAAAGAGGGGCCCCTGGGTGGCTCAGTGGGTTAAGGCCTCTGCCTTCGGCTCAGGTCATGATCTCAGGGTCCTGGGATCGAGCCCCGCATCTGGCTCTCTGCTGGGCAGGGAGCCTGCTTCCCTTCCTCTCTCTGCCTACTTGTGGTCTCTGTCTGTCAAATAAATAAATAAAATCTTTATTAAAAAAAAAAAAAAAAGAAGAACGAAAGAGAAAAATCAGAAAAGACACAATCATAGATTTCAACATCCCTCTCTCAGTAATTGATGAAAGTATAAAAAAAAAAAAAATCATCAGGATACAGAAGATGTGGACAACACTAGTAACTACCTTAATCTGACATTTATGGAACGCCATGCCCAACAGCTACAGGACAGACTTCTCAAGTACACACTGAATATTTCTCAACACTGACCCTATATGCTGGGGCCATAAAATAAATCTCAATAAATTTCTAAATATAAAAATGTTACACAGAATGTTCTCTGGTGACAGAAGAATTCAATTG